ATTGTAAGGTTCTTGTTTTACACTCAAGGTATTATTATTTTGTAGAGTAGACTCAATTTTTTCTTTGAGTAATTTCTGTACTCTATTACTCACTAAATCACTCATCTCTTTTAGAGATTCTTTGTCTAAAGGGATCTTTTTAATATCCAATAACTCAATCAACCCACTGTGGCACTTTTGGTTTTCACTGATCAATTCATTGTGTTGTATTTCAAGATGGTGGACAAGGTCTGACAAGATTGAATTGTAATTATTTAAACCAAATCCAAGTTTACCATGAACAACTTTAATATTCTCATGCATCTTCTTAACACATTCACTGAAATAAGCTAGTTGTTCTTTATCTTTAGACGACCTATGGACTACAGGGTGCAAAGTGGATATAATCTGATTAGTCCATGGTTGAATCAATTCATGATGAAGAATAGAATGAAAAAGGTGAACTAACCGTTCATCCTCTAGAGTCAGTTGCCTTGATGACCCCGTCTGAAACGCTCCCAAGTCTCTTGACGAATGAGGTACTGACCCATGGCTACTTGGGCTTTCACTACGGCTTTGGAGGTCGAAATCGAGGACTTCTTCTTGCGGTTGTTGTCCCATTGATTGGATCGACCGTTGGTAGTTCTCTTGTTGAACTGCTTGGGATGGTTCGTTTGAGGTTGAGGCATGCAAACTTGATCCTCTGGCAAGACCCTGAAGTCGAACGGATCGATCCAGAACGGTCTCCATGAGGTTGTGCCCGGTCGAAACCATCTCGTGATATGGTTGTGGATTGTTTCGTCTGGGTACCTGAATTGAAACATCAGTTGCTTCCAGATCCTTCGAGCCTCGAAGATGGCGTTCTTACACATCTTCTTGGCGTTGGGGTGATCCTTCCCTAACTCCCTGGCCCCTTCCCAACGCACGTATTGTGCGTTCAGCAAAGTCCATAGGTAGGTCACCTCTGGGTCGATCTGCTGAGGTACTGGTTGATGGGCCTGGTTCACCTGCAATCAACGGATCAGTTGCTGATCTGATAGGTGTTGATGTAATAGGGAGGACTTTCTTACCTCTGGTCCGCGGTCTCCCCCGCCCGGTTGATCCACTGGCATGGCTTGGTCCTCCTGGGCGATCGGTTGACTCACCGGCCTCGCTTCGTTGGTCACTTGCAAGGTCGGTTGTACTAGCTCGTTTCCTTGATTCACTACGAGTCCGAGGTCGAGCAGACATGATAAAGACAAATCTTTGAATTAGAAACCAGAAATAGATTAAAAAAAAACTTCTCAAAGCAAGGGCTGCTTACTTTGACTTTCCAAGTGGTTGACTGCCTTGATCTGGTCTATAAGTTCGGAATCAACAGTGAAAGATATGTTATTAAAGAGTTTATGTGAATAGAAGCTATATAACAAAACTTCAAAAGAAATCACCTGGGTCTTGAATGTAATCAAGAATGTTACCTGATGGTGTTGGTGTATTGGTCGCTTCTGGCTGGAATCGAGATGGTAACGGTGTGGTTTCCGATACAACTGATTGCCCGTCAATTGATGCGATGGTACCATTGATAGCCGGGGTACTGCAAGGTGAATAGGTCCCGACTTCGCTTGCAACGTCTTGGATTCGATTCGCTAGATCTCGAAACGAAGATTGATCGTTGCACTCTAATGGATCCACTTGAAGAAAAAAATGAGAGGACGGTTCGAAAATAGGTAACAGAGAAGAGAAAGAATCAAATGCGAGATCAGACTCTGATCTAACAAGTTTGAGCGAATTAAATTACAATAAAAAACTATAATAACCACCGACTTTGTAAACGCTAATGCTTTTCGCTTGGTGGCTTGTAGGAACTGTGATCTAAAGAATAAAGTGATCGAAAAATGAAGAGATAATAAACTGAATATGACAATCTACAAAATGGTAATAGGGCGAGTGGGGAAATACTAACAAGAGTTTGATAATTGCAATACGATTAAAGAGCTGAAATCGTCTGAGGAAGGAATCGTTTAGAGGAGAACTTCGGTAGGTTTTTATAACTTCTGATCGTATTGTTTGGTGTGGTTGAGTGGAAGCTTCCAGAACGAATGAAGTCACTAATAATAACGTGATTCAAACCAAATGTTAAGGCTTTTCAATAATGAGAAAAGAAAAAAAATAGAACAAGATAGAACAAAATAGTAAGTTGGTTTAACTTACTTCACTTTTTCTTTATCAGAGCTTTCCAGTATTGAGAAAAGAAGATGCAATAATTTGTTTTCAGTATTGAATTCGTGTGTTTGATAATGGCAAAGGTATTTATGAAGGTGGTCGACGTCGCAATTTTGATGATTTGATTGGAATTGAATTATCTTAATGCAGGACGAATGGTCCTGGCGTTCGTAGCGGGAAGCCAACAACGCGTGGACCAAGCAACACTGACAATAGTCTTCGAAAGTTGATGTTGTTTGAGAGATATCAGTCCGAATGTCGTGATCGTTTGGATTATGATGATGTGGGGTGATTTCCGAGGGTAGAGGTTTGTAGAGGTCCCTGTATCAATATGATCAAGGAGCAGGACTAAAGAAAATTACCCGGCTCCGAGGAAAATGTGACAGGTGATCGAATCTGTCAACTCTTGACAGTTCTATAAGGCTAATATGCTTATAGAATTTGACGTTGAAATTTATGAGAATGGAAATGTTGAGTATATGTAAATTACACTACACTTCCTTGACACGCTGTGTAATAAACTACACACGTGCTCTGTCCACTATTTTTGTCAAATAATTCAACACAATGTGGAATTACTGTTGCACACAGACAATAATATATATGTAGCACAAATACTAAAAGACAAGTAGTATAAATGATGCTATATATGTATGTAATAGCTTGTTAATTCTCTTTTCTCAGTGTGTACATGAAATATCACACTTAATTGAAAAAAATGGGGTGTCTTTTAATGTAATTGAGTAGACTCTTCTGAAGAAGAATTGTGAATATTTCAATTACAGTTGAACAACACTTTAGTATATTGAATCTACAAACTGAGGAAATACTTGTGATCACAATTAAATGTGATCTTAAAAAAATAAGAGGAAAGAAAAAATGGAAATTCTAGAATTTGAAGGAAAAGAAATAGATATTTTTTGTATTAAAAGAGAAGTAAAGTAAAACAAAATGAGACTGGACAGAAAGAGGTCTGTAGGAACAAAAACCGGATGAGGCCCCCAAGTTGTGAGGGGTCAGCTACTTTTTGGCTGACTCTTCACTAAAAAAGGTGAAGTAAGGGTGGAATAAGGATTAACAAAGTCTTTACTTGGTATAAACAAGTAAAGACTTCAGTTAGTTGACCTCTAAGAAGAGGGTTTAAAGCCAGTGGGATGGCTGAGTAATCCTTCAAAGGAGCTTACTCAAGAGCTCTGTTGGGGATAGAGCCTGCAGAACTTTACACTCTGATTGCTCAAAGGTTCCACCGGATACTTTACACTCAACTCAGGAGGTATCCTATGCAATTCTAAAGCTTGGTTCTATAACTATATAGTCCCACTAGTTTAGAACCACCACTTTAAAGCTCACAAGGGCTTGAGGAAGGTTGTAGAACTATAAGATCAAGTACAATAAAATCACTATACTCAATATTCTTGGTAAGAATCAAGTAAGTTGTGATGTAGAATTGTGGAATGATAATCAGTTGGTTCTTCTTCTAGAGTGGGAAGAAGAAGAGTTTATATATTCCAGATCTAGGCGTCAACTTGTGGTTGGCGCTTAGGTTTGCTTTTCTTTGAGTTAGGTTTGGGTTAGGTTTGGGTTAGGTTTACTATTACTAGTTAAGTCCTAGTAAGTCTTGTTACTTAAGTGACTCTTGAAACTGAGCCATGAGTTGTAATTCTTATGGTTTTAGACAAGTTTTGTATAATTACATACGTATTACATATATTTACATGTGTGTTTGTTAGTCCGTGGTCCTGTACACAGGGCTCAGGGCTGACATCCACTTCTGCCCACATCTCACCCACTGGACAGGTGCCCACAAGACTGGAAAGCTATAGGCCAATTATCCATAGAACCATTTGGCTAGCATTGGTGAATGGATTGGTTCTATTCTTCTGTACCTCCAAGCCAATCCAGATTTTCAAATTTTTATTTCTTTTGATCATTTTTAGTTTACAGACTTCATCATCATGATCTCTACTTTAATATACCTATCAAAGAACTTTAGTTAATCAAGACCATAAATCTCTCATCCTGATTACAAAGAAGAAGAACAAACATCAAACATTTCTTTCATAACCCATCAAGATAATTTCACTAGAGCCAAGGCTGCCACCAGTATACATGGTATATCATACTATTGGTATAATATATTTCAACCATACTATACTGAGAATTACAAGAATTATGCCAGTATATTTGGACATATACTACAGCCATATACTATTCATGATTGATGAACACTAGAAAAAAAAAACTTTTAAAATGTTTTGAAAAATCTATTTGATTGATCACAGCAAAACTGTGGTGATTCATGATCTTTGCTGTACCTGTATTCACAATTTACTGTGTTTATTCATAAAGTTTTTTTTTCAAATGTTCATCAATCATGAATATGGATGTACATATACTCAAAAATATACCCAGTAGACACCTATACAAGTTTCTGAATGTACTGCAATACATTCCAAATATACCAAGTATATTTCATGTCCAGTATAGTCTAGTGCAGTATAGTATAGTATAGTCTAGTATAGTGGCAGCCTTGCTAGAGCCCAGACAATGGATTTTGAGTTAAATTGTACAAATCAGTCATGAAGTTTAATATTCTTCAATGTTGAAAGATAACCAGGTTTGATCATCTTGAAAGAAATAATCATCCTTGAAAACTCAAGGTTTGAGAAACCCAATTGTTTCCTAAAGCCAGCAGACCATAAAGAAAAATGTAAAAAATGTAAATCTGACATTTGTACAATAAATCCATTCAAATCCAATCAAACATCCTCACTTCATAAACAAAAAACTCCAAAACTCCAATTCTTCTTCAACCAAACTCATGAATAACCACGAGGAATCCCAAACTGATCAAACCACATAAACACACAATTCTTTAACCATTTCCCATGCTGAAGATGATCCAAGAAATCTTGATGAGATGGATCAGATGGATTCAAAACATGGGTTCGGATGGCCATCTTTAAACTGATATCTGAAAGAAACCTTCGTACTAGTAATGATGATTTCACATCACACCAAATTCGTAAATGATCACCAAAGAGATCGGGTTCAGTTGTTGAGGTTGAGGATTGGGGATTTGATGGTCTTGGTTTGAGTGAATTGAGATGTGATGCTACTCTATAAATCCAAATACCAAAACCATCAAAAACCCGAAAATCAAAGAAATCAAGATTTATGAAACTGATGATAAATGTACATAGCTAAAGTGACCACGTTTCCTAATTTCTGTTGTTCACCAAGTGTACCCATCAATTTCCAAACCAACTTCAACCGATACGGATCCCAAACAATCGACTTAGAATCCGATTTGAGCGTCCGATCAGAAGAAGAGATCCGATGATCAGTCCAATAAGGTAAACTGATTTGACGATGATAAATCGAATAAAAATCCAACGAATTCGATTCGTGTTTGTGAACCGGAATGAACCAAAACCCACGAGAAAGTGAATAAGAAGAAGAAAGAGATTTAAGATCGTATGGAATGGATTGATCGGTACATGGTAATGGTTGATACTTTGGCCATGGTGGTATACTTGATTGAGAATGATTTAGAAGATTTGAAGGTGAATGATCATAATCATCATCGAGATTCCTGATAGGTGTTCTGTACGGCTAATCAGAAAGATCAAATCAACCGATCCTGTTCATTAATTTCTTTTCTTTCAAGAATCAGATTGGAATGTATGGTTTGAAAAGAAACTGAACTGGAGAAATACAATGTTCTAGTGCTCCTTCACCCAAATCATAGGATGAATCAGAAGAAGAAACCGAATCGACTTCATGATCTGATTCGCTATCTTCGCAAAGTATGAATGGCGGTGGTGGTGATTGAATGTCTGAGTTTAATGAGATTGTTCTAGAATGGATTGATGGATGAATACAAGAGTTGATGAGATGTTGAAGATGAATTAGATTTGGTTTGGGTTGATTTTGATTTGGTAATCTGACTTCAATCAAATCGAATGAGTCATTCATGATTGGAAGTGTTAAGTCAGTCAGTAAGTTTGAGATATAACACTTGGTAAACAGTCAAACACCACCCTGATGACGTATGTATGCAGTCTTCACTCTACAACTTCACTTCAAGATATCCTCTCAAGCAATCTTCTGCAAGAATGTCACTTCAGCAATCACATTGTAAGTTCATCACCATCACCATCACCATCCATTAGCCTACTAACCAAAACCAATCAACTCCTCTGATTCTATCTACAGTAAGCACACCAAACTCAACCACCACCAAACGTAAACGTACTTCACCACCTGATCAAAAAGACAGTATGTCCAGCTCTATCTATCTCTAAATCTTCTAATCCTTCAAAGAACCCAAACTAATCACCAATCTCGATTTCTTTCTTTTTCCATATTTCTTTGGTGTTTTTTCAGGGAAACTTACACCACTTGCACCTATTTTTCAAAAACATCAACTTAACTTTCAATGGTTATCAATCATAAATGAGTCTTGTATTCATGGTACATACGGAAACCCAATCCCAACCCAAAAAATCGCAGCCTTTGATCTCGTAAACCATTCTTTTTCTTCTCCTCCTCTCTTCTTTTGACCTACATAAACCCTTGACCAAACACCCAAAAAACCGTCAAACTGATTCCCATAAATTCGATTTTTCTAACACAAAAGGATTCTACACTAATCACCACCAAATCAGGTAACACATTCCCACGTAATTCAGATGATTGGAAACTCTGGAACCCCATCATACCAAAAAAATTACATCAATTAAATCAAGATGGATATACGATTCTGTTGATCAGTAACCAAAAAACCAATGCCAAACAATCTGCTGAGTTTGATCAAAAGTTACCAAAGTTGGCTAAAGCTGTAAGTTTCATTCCTGATCATCTCTTCTGATCTTGATTTTGTTTTGGATGACTTATGATGGGAATCTTTTGGGGGGAGGGGGTAAAGTTGAATGTTCCTTTTCGGATCTTTGCGGCACGTAAAGATGATGTTTATCGAAAAGTAAACTTGTTCATTTTTTCTCCATTAAACTGATTTATACCAACTTACTGATAACTCTTTTTCACTTTAGCCACGTACTGGTATCTGGGAAGAGTTTATAAAGAATTGGAATGGGAATTTAGAACCAGGTAAATGAAGAAACCATTAATCAAACGAAGACCTTTAATAGAAACTAATAAACCTAATTTGTTTGGATTTTTTTAAATAGATAAAGAACAATCTTTTTATGTAGGTGATGCTGCTGGAAGACCAAGTCGTGGTTCAATCAAAGCCGATTTTAGTGATACAGATCGTAAATGGGCATTAAATCTTGACATTCCATTCTTGTAAGTCACTGAGTTTTTCCTCAAGGTGATCTTTGAATCAAGTCTAATTGTTTTTGAATTTGAAATAAACCAAAGTACACCCGAGGAGTTTTTCTTAAACCAATCTAAACGTCAAGATTATGTGTTGAAAGGATTCGATCCAACTAAATATGATCATGATCGTAAGTTGACTTTCTCTTTCATCAGTTACTCATCTTAACAATTTGTTTTTTCTTCTTAGAACCTGCTTGGATTCCCGAAACATCTATTATAGCTTATGAACCAATTTCAAGTTCTTTAGAAAATGTAAAAAAGTTGCAGTCAAATGAGATTCCTAAAAAACTCGAAATCGTTTTGTTTGTGGGACCTCCAGCGATAGGAAAAAGTCAATTTTATAAAACTCATTTCGAACCTAAAGGATATGAACATATAGTAAGTCATAAACCTTACCAGAGTTTTGTAACATTTTTCTAAAGTGTTTTTGTTTGTATAGAACCAAGATAAATTAAAAACGTTTGAGAAATGTTTAAAATCAGTTAAAGAATCCATCCAATGTTCCAAATCATGTGTAATAGATAACACGAACCCAAGTGAATCGACTCGACACCAATACATTAAGTTATCACAAGACCTAGGATGTTCAATCAGATGCATTCATTTCGATTCTTCAATCGATTTATCACTTCATAATAATGTTTACAGAGCTTTTTATGGAGAAAAAGATGCAGAAGGTAATAGAAGACATCTTTTGCCGGGTTTGGCGTTTGGGTCGTACTTGAAACGGTTCGAAACTCCTTTGGTTCAGGAAGGGTTTGGGGAAGTTGCGCTCGTTAGGTTTAGGTTTGTGGGGAAGGATGTGGGTAGAAAGAAATGGGAAATGTATTTGACTTGATTTTTGGTTTGACTTGTCTTTTTTTTTGGTTTGGTGTTGTTGTTTTATAGATATTTTGGAGTTGGTTTTTTTGGTTTTTGAGTTTTTGGTTTTTGAGATGAGTTGAGTTGATGAAAAAATGTAATTTGATATATGAAATCCTTGTTGTATTTGATTGATGATTTTTGTGAATATATTGAAGTTGTTGTAGGATTTTAAACTGATTCCAATCAATCAAAAGATGATTTTCTTTTGATCAGTTGCAAGATGTATGTTTTCATTGCAGGATCTGGAACTTTTTCTTGGGACAAAATGTAGAGATCACAGAGAAGTTTATGGTTTTTTATTCTTTGATGTTTACTGACTAAAATTGAGAGTTTGTTATTTAAAGTTTCTGATGCTGAATGGTTTTGGGAGACTCAATGGTAGACTCAGTTATTGGTAAATGACGTCATAGAAAAAATGTTGACAGACCCCGAAGATATCCGACCCGACTGATTCCTCGAGTTTTTTAGACTTTTGATCGGTTCACACCACTTGAAGACTGAAGTTACATGAAACTCCCGATCATGTTCAAGAATCAAGAATCAAGAATCAAAAATCAAGAGCAATGAATCAAGAACAATGAATTAAAAAAGTTGAAGTTGGTTTTTGTTAATTCTTCAGTTTACTATCTTACATTTTACAGTCTTGAGTTTTAAGAAGAAAAATTAAGAAGTTTTGATTGAAAAGGTTTGGGGAAGCTTATAATTATGAAGTTCAATTCTGATTCAAAATTAAATCCAAATGTTAAACCAAAAGTTAGAGTAAAATTTGAAGTGTTGGAATATCATTGGGTTTTGGTTTTGGGTTTATTGGTTTACTTGATTTCGACTTCTTTGGCTTCTTTAACTTATCAAAATCAAAATCGAATTGAAAATACAAATCGAATTGAAAATCAAAATCAAGAGCAAAATCAAGGTCAACATCGAATTAAAGATCGAAATCGAATTCAAAATCAAATTGAAAGAAATGAAACAAAATCGAATATAAAGATATCTTGGGATAAATATTCTTTATTAATTGATCAAGAAAGGGTTTTTATTCAATCCGGTATGTATAATAGATTTTTTTTGTAATATAGATGATCTTCTTACTTTTTGGGAAAAGAACAGAATAACTTACACATTTTGTTTTGCTCCTGGATTTGGATTCGGTCCTGGATTTGGATTTGGTCGTGGATTTGGGATTTGGATTTGGGAATTGATTTTTATAGGTGAATTTCATACTTGGAGACTTCCATGTGTTGAACTTTGGGATGATATTTTACAAAAATTCAAGGCTCTTGGTTTGAATACTATTTCAATTTATGGTAAGTTGTACATCCAATCACTTTCTTTGTTTAGTTTGTTTCTGGATTATAAGTACCGACACAAACTAATCTTTTGAAATTGATTCGATTTTTGTAGTTCATTGGTCTGTGATTCGTGATCATTTTTTAAACTTTTTTCTTTTCCAAGGATTTTTACTAATACTTTGGTTTTGATGATCAATGATGTTAAATGTACCTAGGGGATTGGTCAATCCGATCAAAGGAAGAACCGATTGGAGTGGATTTAGATCTCTCCAACCGATTTTCGATGGTGCCAAAAAGATGGGTCTTTGGGTGATCGTACGTCCAGGTCCTTATATAAATGGTATGTGAGTTTTGGTTGATTGGTCGAGTGTTTTTGGATATCAATCGATTTCTGATCTTGGTTTGGTCGTCAAATGACTCATTATAGCCGAGACTACAGGTGAGGGATTACTGAAGTTTGTCAAAAGCCAAATACGTATCTAATCAGATAGTTTCGATTTTGATGCCAAATTTAGCCGGTGGGATTCCGGGTTGGGTCACTCAACTTAATTGTTCACTTCGTACCAACGCTTCTGAGTTTGATGAAGCATGGCGACAATATTGGATCGAATTAGCTGAACTGATTGAACCTAATCAGATTGGAAAACCTAATGGAACGGTTCTTGCTGTACAAATTGAAAATGAGTAAGGATCATCATATCTTCATTCATCTTTTTCTCATTCTTTTGAATTGACCAAATCAGAGGATGATTAGATATTTGAGTGATGCTCATTCTTTTCAAGGACAACCTAATGGAAAAGATGGGTATATGAACGATCTTGAGCAAAGTTTGAAAGAGAATGGGATTGTAAGTTCTTTGTAATTCTTTTGGAAGTTTCACCAATTCAAACTCACTCATCTCTCAATAGTACGTACCTTTGACCTTCAATGATGCAGGTATGGATGAAAACTTTGTGCGTGGTACTGGATCAGTAGATATATGTAAGTGATACTTTTTTCATGACTACTTCTTTGATGAACTCATGACTCATTCACTCTTGTTGCTCATCTTCTTGATCTTTCTTCTTTGAATCCCATTTCAGATGGATTTGATTCTTATCCTCAATCATTTAATTGTTCAAATCCATCAGATTGGAAACCTGTGATAGATTCTTACGCCCGATATCAATCTGATCTTGAAACGATGTTCCAATTAAATTCACCTCTTTATATACCAGAGTATGTTGACTTTCATCCTAGATCTTGAGATGAAATATTATTAGTTTTGGATCCTGATGGGCATGTCTTTTTTTTAGATTTCAAGCTGGTGCATTTGATCCTTGGGGACCTCATGCGGCTGGGTATGAGAAATGTCAAGAGTTGACTGGTAGTGATTTTGAATCGGTTTTTAACCTTAATAATTTGGCTGCAAATGCCAAGATGATCAATTATTACGTCAGTCTCTCTTCATGATCCATGAGTAAACTTCTTGCTTCAGCTGAGATGAATTTCTTGTCCTTCATTAGATGGTCTATGGAGGTACTTCTTGGGGATACTTGCCATTTCCAGGAGTCTATACAAGCTGTGAGTCTTGATACCGAATCTTTTACACTTCGTAGGTATATCCATTGACGATCTGATTAACTTATTTCTTATTTTAATATCCTAAGATGATTATGGTGCACCTATTTCAGAAGATAGAACATTAAATGAAAAATATATTGAATTAAAGAGACAGAGTTTATTTTTAAGATCATCTCAAGATTTTTACAAGACTGATCTGATTAGTAATTCACATAAGAAAACTTATTGTATAGGTCATCACCAGTCAGGATTTGTGACCGAATTAAGGAATAGGGAAACTGGTGCTGCTTTTTATATTTTACGAGCTACTGATTCAACCTCAAAGTGAGTGATATCTCAAACTCTTTTCTCGCTGATTTTCCCAAGTCAAGTCTAATACGAAAATTTGATCTTACATAGCCAGTTAACAGTTTGTACTTTGAGCGTTTTGACATCTGTTGGTCCTATTCTACTCCCAACAATCGTCTTACGACCCCGACGGTCGAAGATCTTAGTGACCGATTATACTACACGTACTGCTTCAAGTTTAGCTTCGAATGACGATTTACAAATCAAATTACTATATACCACATCGAATGTTTTGCTTTCAGCTCATATAGGTGGACATATAGTACTTTACCTATTCTCCGATCATCAGAATGAAGAACAAGCCAAGTCTACTGCAAATAACCAGACTAGTGTACTCAAACTTCCTGGGTACAACTCCGGTCTATCGATATCAAGATGGGCTGATGAAAATCCTAATGTGACACTTCAAAAAAGTGATGAAGAATATTTGAATATCAATTGGTCAGTGGATCAACCCGAGGAAATCGTCTCTATACAAACCCCAAAAAGTGCTGTGATTTTAACTTCGGAAGAGACTGCTGGACAAGTTTGGAATCCGATACTTGATTCAAATCCTTCGACTGGGGTGGTGAAAGATAGTTTACTTATTTGGGGTCCATACTTGGTTCGAAATGCTTCGATTGATCTAGCTAGTGGAAAATCCACTTTATGTATATGGGGAGATGTGATTGAAGGCCAAAAGACTGGGGTATCAGCTTATATAGGAGGATTGAAGATCCAAAACGTTTCTTGGAATGGAAAACTAATCCGAAAGGTAATTAAATCTAGACAAGGGTTTTTAAGATTTGATTTACATCCCAATGAATTTCATCAAAAGATGATAAAGAGTCAAACAACTGATTTCAAACAAGTTAATGATTATCTTGATCTTGGGAATCTTCAATGGAACTATCGAGATAGTTTACCTGAATTAAATGAAGGGTTTAGTGATGATGATTGGGTAAATGCTGATCATGAGCTGACGGTTAGTCCTTATAAAAAACTTTATGGAAAGGTAAGTTAGAGTTTTCTTTTTGAGTTCTACTTGTGAGATTTGATAGGTTAATTGGTTTGGATGTTTTTGGTTTTGATAGTATTACCTTTACGCATGTGACTATGGATTGTAAGTTGAATTATGTTTTTGATGTTACCATTATGCTATCTTTTTGAATGGTATTGACGGATTTTGATTGGTTTTTGATAGCTGTAATGGTGGGATTGTATGGCGAGGACACTTTAATAGTGTTTGCAATTCTATTCCAACTCAACTTAGATTGATGAATCAAGATTCGTTTGGGATTAGGTTGACTATGTCTGGTGGTAGTTCATTTGCTGCATCAGTTTGGATCAATGATGTTTTGATAAACACATCAGTTGCGATGGTTAGTTTTTAGTTAACACTTGAAATTCAAAAATGAACCATCACGATTGATGAGGGTTAATCTTGTTTCTTATTATACTTTAATCTTTCTTTGACAGGATTCAAACGTCACCGAAGATGTATATATCTTCCCGCGGAATTCGATTAAAGAATGTGGACATAATGTTATTACGATTGTTCAAGATTCGATGGGTATGGATCAAACTGAAGGAGGTTAGGATTTCTATTTGAATAAGTCACTTGATTTGAATGTATGATTTGAATTTTATTATTGATTTTGCTTATAGGGTTTTCTGATACGGTTAAACATCCTAGAGGTATACTGGGTTATCGGTTCGAAAATGTAGATGAGAATCAAGTTGACGAGATTCAATGGAAACTTCAAGGTCAACTAGGAGGATTTTATTGGTACGTAATCGAGATTCGAAATGCACAAAGATACACTCCTCATGACTTTTAGAATTGGGATGACGTATGGTTTAGGTTACCGGACCCTGATCGTGGTATCATGAATGAAAATGGTTTCTTTGGGATCGTGAGTACATTGTGCTAAGGGGAAGAAAGCTAACAAGAAACACGACTGATGTTGATCAACAATTTACAGAGATCAGGATGGCATCTTCCTAATTATCCACTTCGAAACAGTTCAGAATGGATCAAATCATCACCCATCAAGAATGGAATGAATCAAGCAGGTATCGGATTTTATCATACTGAAATTAAGTTAGATCTACCAAAAGGTTATGATATGATGATAAGTTTAAATTTTGGAAAAGTGTTTGGTGATGTAGGTGGAAAGGGAAAGGGTAGATATAGAGTAGAGTTTTGGATTAATGGATGGAATATGGGTAGGTATGTTTCGGATCTTGGACCTCAATTTAGGTTTCCGATTCATGAGGGTATTCTTAATTTTCAAGGTTTAAAGTAAGTTGGTTTTTCTCTCATATAAACTATCTTACACATAATGAGTAGATTGAAGATATCAAACTAAAGCAAGGTATATAATCTTTGACACACTTCTTTTTGGGATATAGTGAGTTAGGATTGACATTATGGGCGATGGATAGACAAGGTGCTAAGCTTGAAAAGCTTTGGTTAAGATTAGATAAGGTCTTGGAAGGTGGGATTGGAAGAGTTAAAAGCTCAAATCCAGAGTTTGAGATTTCTAAAAGATTGAAGTCTTGAATGAATTTTTAGGTATCTTGTAGACTGATGGTAAGATGATGATGATGATGCTACAATGTGTGAATCTGATGTATTTGTAGATTGTTGTAATTCAAGTGAAAGTTGATCGAAATAATCAGTATCCCGAAGTGAAGTACGGGCCCGGCATTGCCATGTCTTCTTGATTCTGTGTATGTCTTGGAAAGTTTTTTTGCTTTACTCTCGGGATCTACGAGACTCGTCCTGTGGATTTTTGGTGTCTTATAAACCTCGACACGAAATCCCAATTTTCTCATGTTTGCACAATCTGCCAAGGTTGATGAGATCGACGAGATACATTCAGAATCTCATTGTTGATGTCCAGCATCTTACATGATATGACCAGCATGGCTTCCATCACAGCAATCTCCCCCACTGATCAGCTTGATGATCGCATACGAGAATGTTTGGCCCGCTTTATTCTTAAAGTTTCTTTCGATTGCAGGTGCTGTGTAGGTTACTTTGGGGTGGACTCATCTCATATCTTTACCAAAAAGCATTCACCATCCAATATGTTCATCAGTTGACTTTGTCTTTTCAACGACATACGATCATGCTTCGACCTAGCTATAGCAGACAGAACACGTTGAACGATGGAGCCGATTCTAGCTCAGTTCAATCTAGACCTCTTGATTCATTTTATCTATCTACTTTTCAATTCGATTCATCTACTCCAATCCTAGAATTAAACCAATTCAAGGGATCTGAAAGAATTGATAAACTTGACCAGAATCATCAAGATAAAATACCTAGAAATCAAGAAGATCAATCTTACTTTAAAACCTTTTCTTCATTACATCCAAGAGTTTATTGGTGGTGGATCATAGTTTTAGGTCAAATTTTATTGGTTGGATTTCCCATTGGATTTTATTGTACGATTTCTTATTATCAAATCTCATTACCTGATCGGATTTCTGAATTTGCGAGAAAATCACCTGGTTCCATTACTTTTATTGTGACTTTGATTTCTAGTACTTTCTCGGGACTTTCATCTTTGTAAGTCATTTTGTTTTTTTTCAAAATCATCAATCAAAAAACATTTCTTATCTTTGGTTGATTGACTATGATTTAATTTATTTTGTTATTTTTTTATTATAACATTAGTCTTTTTTCTCATGCAGTTGTTAATTTCTTGGCTCATCGACTTGCTAGACCTACTACTTTGTTTGAACTTTCTACTGGGATCGAAATATCAAAAGGACAATTCATCTTTAGAAGAAAATATCCTACTTGGACAATCTTAACCTTACTTGTTGGACTTTTACTAAAAACTCTCACAGCAAGGTAACTAGAATTTTTGCAAATATTTTGATATGATAAGAAAATGGCATTGATTGTATTGGTTTTTTTTTCGTTTTGTAGTTTTGCGACCTTGATCACTCCTACTGCAATTGTTGTGAGTACACCATTGGAAGGTGTAGAGATTGATATTGGAACAGAATCATTTGTTAAGCTCTTGGAAAACAGTGATACATACAAAAATATGATTTCATCTTGTAAGTTTGATCACCTTAGCATGACTGTCAGAAGTAGATACATATCTAATTGAAGTAAGATATTGAATGATTCTTTTTTATAGTAAGAAGTAATAATCCAACAAGCTTTAGTTCAATCTTAGTTTCAGCTGGTATGGCAGCGGCATATGCTAGACTTAAATTCACAAGATTACTTGAATTTGATCATGCAATGTTCAATTCATCAACAGGTACGCTGTACTATATAAATTCAAAAACAAACGATTATGTCACTGATTCACAATTAACTAAATGGTCAAGATAGGTGGTATCTTACCTGTTAGTGCATTTGATGCAGAAATCGGTCCAACAACTAATTCAGTCGAACAAAACTTGATTGGGATTCCAGTTTCTGAAAATAAACCAATAAGGTATAAACTTAAAGGTCAAAACGTTAGATCAAATGAAGTAATTCAACCTTCGAATCATACGATCCTTCAACAAGGATTTACAAGTTTAGTTGATTGTATGATACATGATCATACTTTAATTAATGCTACCACTCAGTCTAGTCCGATTTTGGTTTCGGATTCGACTAGAGCTTTGAATTATTCACTGAATAAATGGTCTTTTAATGCTTCTTGTCCAAATGGAGATAGATTAGGTGAATTCTCATTTGATATCCATTTTTTTATGCTTTCGAAAACTGATTTGATGAATCTTTTAGATCTTGAGGATGTTGTGACGGCTATTAGTACTAACTCTGGCAGTGGAGGATTAGTAATGGTTGCTTTATGTCAAGATCAAAATTTCAATGGGATAGCAAGTCCAGGAAATCATTGTAAGTGCCAGATTCTGAAAGACGATGAGATAATGTTGTTGATAGAAGATTAATTTGATGTGATATAAAGTGTTAAGTCTTATTGGAACAGGTGAAGGTTATAAGTACCTTAAACCACGAGTTTGTTCAATCCGACCCGTCATCACCAAACTAAATGTGAAATATGAACGAAATATAAATTTTGAAAGTTTAATAGAAGTTTTACCATTACCAGAAAACTCAAGAGATTTATCAATCATGGTGCTTAGATTAATTGTAAATTCAGTTAGAGGATCTCAAAATATTTATACTAATACATTTGGTGATGGATTAAAATCGATTTATGGTACGATTGATCAAAAGATTATGGAGAGTGTAGAGGTTGATTCATGGAAGATTGATGAGAATATGTTGAATGAGATTATTGAAAGTTATTTTAGAGGTCAACTTGAATTTATTGGTTCTGTAAGTTGAAGATTCTAAATCCAAAGGAAAGAAAAAAACATCATTGATTGATACATATCTTTTCAAAAAAAGTGAACTGACTTTTCTTTTGATATCTTTTTTTGTTACATTCATTCAAATTGTAGTATTTGAGAGTATCTTTCTCTGGAAAAGATGTATTTGAAAACGATATAATTCCAGAAAGTATGTCAAAACCTATTGAAGGTCTTTGGCATTCCAGCACAATAGGTTGGGATCGAATTTCACATAGATCAGCAATAGTGACTTTATCACCAATTCTTTTAGTAGGGATTTTATCAATTTTACTTATGATTAAAAGTAGAGGTAAAGTACAAAATCGGTTTCCTTTAGATGATTTGATTTGCTTAATTGAAGCAGCTGGATCTGGAGATTTAGTGAATGGATTTGAAAAATTAGAACAAGAAGAGCAAGAGAATTTGTTGAGAGATTTTGATGAATGTAAGAATCGGAAAGAGGTTTGTAGACTTGAAGAACTTGAAAGGGTTAAAGTTAGATTAGAACAAGAATTCGATCAAGAATCAGAGTGGAATTTAAAGTATTGTCCTTGATGGAAATTTTCAGGTTGATCATTAATCTTTGTATATATCAAAGTGTAAGGGATTGGTTGGGGTTTTGAGGAGTTTTATTCTTTGAAAAAGAAATGTTGGCATATGGTCTTTGGTTGTTGTAGTTGTTGATGTACTTCTCTGATCCCACTATTCTTTAAAAAAACAATAAAAATTATCATTGGTAAAAATCAAAAGTAAAAACCTTTGTACTTTGGGTTTGGCTATTGAAAAAATTGATGCAGTTGCTCGACCAGATTGGATGTTTCTTGAAGTTAAGAACTTTGAGAGGGGTTTCACTGTTGTGTATTGTTTTACCCTTAAGATGTTATATAGCAAGAATGGACACTATATTTGCAGTCTTTATCAATGGTGGTTTGGCCAAGCCAACTTAGCGCTTAGCGCAGCGCTAGCTTAGTGATTTTGGGCCGCTAAGATAGTGCAAATTTCTTAGCGGACCTCTGCTAAGCTAAGAGGCTTTGGTACTATATTTGATTGCAGAACAATACAATCAGCTGTGCTGCTCTTGCACAGAGTTCCAATAGTGAAATCAAACAAATCAAGGCATCAGCCCAACCCAGTAAGATTAAGGATGATGATGAATCATGATGGATTCAACAATGTGCTACTTTATTTCTCTGAAGCAACTCATAACCAGGACAAGGTGATTTTTTTGTAAGTCTTTCAGGGGTCATCTTTCTTCACACAGCCCACTCTTTGCATATGATAGGACAAGACGAAAAAACCTCTCAATCACAAATGTCTATGGTGCAGAAAGTCTGATATATAAGTCAGTAATACCAACTCTTGAGTCAAACTCAAGGTTCGTTGGGATGGCTGTCAGGGTGGCTACTACTTTAGAGAGTCAAGTAGTCTAGTCATTACTTGATTCAGAGTCCTGACAAGAGATTCCACTGGTTACGCGGGATATCCAATATATCTTATCCTAAAGTGAGGATGATGATCATAACAAACGTGGGTAAACCACAAGCTCTTCACGGTGTTTCAAAGAAACACAATTGGCCCACTGTAAGTTAACAGATGTGAGGTGGTCAACCTTTAGGCCTGGTTATAATCTCTGAGATACAAGATCTAGAGTAGCCTGCGTCCAAAGACTAACAGGGATCTTGCCAACTTTGCGTTGCAAGAACTGAGTAGTGACCAAGTAGATCCACATAGCTTTTAGGTACGTAGAAAGGTTCTGGATTTAAATCAACATTTCATAATCGAAGCTATTAGCCGGAAAGGACAAATACAATGGGACTATGTTTAGCCAGGAAGTAGACATGCGATGGGACTAACAAGATACTTGGAGTAGCAAAAGGTAAGGATTATAGTTCAAGATACTAGGAAGGACAAAGCAACAATTCAACTTTAAGCAAGAAGGGGTAAAGTGGAACTGAGATTTAGAGACATGCGTAACTAATCCAGCTGGACTTTGGAACAGAGGATGGTCTGAAATAATTGGTTAGAGTATGATAAGGTGAGGCTCTCCATCCCTTGGAGAGACTTCCTTTATTTATATTCCTTTTGTTCTGATTTAAAGGATATATCGGAGATACCCTTTTCTTGGCGTAGTCTCCTTATTAAATACATTCAATTGATATATATTCAAGCCCTATTCTATACGTGATCAGTTCAATCTTGCTTCCAAGACTTATTTCATTAGTCTTCTGGATCTCAATCAAGATTTCTGATCAAGTTCTTATGAAAGGCAATTGATTGTTTTCAATTGATTTGTTCTCAAGTGTGACAGAACGTGATTGTATAGCTTATAAGTTTGGCAGTAACTTAGTACATTTCAATCACATCATCTCTATGGTGCAAAGGTGGACAATATTCAATAGACTAATAGAGAAATCTGGTATTCAACTTGTCCTCATTCAGAAGAGCTTGTTAGAATTTTGGTGTTATGGAAACTATTTAGATTTCTTCTTTACCAATGTAGCTATCATCTTTCCGTTTTGAGATGTCTTTCAGATGACCATTGAGAGTACATTGTACTGTTTAATATGTCTTCATACTAAACCTATCAGACTGAATATAAGCAATCAAATGTTTATTTCAAAGCTATCTCAGCTTACAAATAAGTGTAGTACTTATGGCTCTTTTGCCAGTGCAAAGAGCTCGAGTGCTGACAATGGCAATCTGCAGACTGAACTGGGATCAGCTGCAAGTCCTCAACAACATTGGGCAATCAAAGATGGTGGAAATATCCCACCAACAGTTTCTGATTTGGAAAAGATTGCAAAGAAAAAGACTCAATCCAGTTCAACACTGAATTCCTTTGGCATTGAACAATCAATAGCTCAGTACGAGGTCAATATGATTGAATGCTTTGTCTGTGGCTTTTCCAGCAAGCTCTACCCTGGAAACGGATTGAACATCCACCCTTATGTGCTGCTTTTGACTATGAACAACTGGGAGTATGTATAAACAAGCTGAAGTGGTATATGTGTCCCTTTGCAATTCAATCTGGACTGAGCTTCAGGTGTTTTATGTCTGCTTTCTAATCAACTAAACGTTGATATGAATGAATTTACCATTCAATTTTTATTCACATTTTACAGAATCTTGAAAACAAGTTCACAATTGTTCAAGATTTCTGAACAACAAATGGTTATGCACACACCTTCAGTGGTGTATCCATTTATTTCATTAATTTGAATTGGGAATACAAAGTCATGCATCTGACTTTGAAGATGGTTGCTTGGCAATGCAAGGCATGTGAAGTAAATCTCTTTGTTTGTGTATTCATCTTATATCCCCATAAGCCGTGTTAACAGTGTCTCCAATGTCACTGTAGGTTATTGATCTGATGCTGAGCAAAGACCTAGCAAAATTTCACTCAACAGGCCGTTAGCAAGGTACTAATGTGAAGAACCAGGCATACTTTCATACATATGATGGTGACTGGGAGGATCTCAATGCCCTGCAAGAAGAGCTTTTGGTATGGATCAAGAGCAAATTCTAACTCCATCAGCTGATTGATACTGAAAATTGTTTTTGACTCTACAGCCATTTCTTCTGTTGACTAAACAATTCAAGGAGAACAGTACAAATGGCTCAAATGTGTCCTACCCAAGTATTCAATTATGTTGGATTGTCTCAAAAAACAACAGGATTCTTTAGAAAAAATGGCCTGTTTTGTATTGCAGAGATGGTCTTCTGTATGAAAATTACTGGAATGAAGCTCTCAGACGTGAGAGTATTGTATTTGAGACCATCTTGAACCCACTATTTTGCCACTGGTTCTTCAAAAGAACCTTTGGTTCCCAATATCCCAAGACTGTCAAGAGTCTCACAACATTTACCAATGTGTTCAATGTTTGTAGAACTGAGCACCCGGACCTCAACTCTCAACAATCATTGTGCAACAAGCAACCTACCACATCAAGCCTAACCAGAACCATTTCATATGTTTATCAACTCTTCACCCAGAATCCTCAGGCTGAGCACAAAGATGAGCTTAAGAGGTACCTCAAGGGCAATCATTGCTTATTACTGGTGCTCAAAGATGGGGTGATTGTTCCAAGTTGTGTAATGAAATGGCGGAAATTAAATATTGAATTTGTTGATACCTAGATGGTCCTTAAACAAACACTTTCTGATCAGGATGATCATTGATTGTAGGATCACAAACACATCTATCTGGTCCTTGCTTCAATGGCACACAATTAACTTGGGATTCCAGCTTCATCTTCAGCAGTTGAGAGATCCTTTTCAGCCACTGCTGATGTTTGCTCGGCAAATCAAGGTCAATTGGAACCACGAACTATTGGGAGGAATGTGATTAGCCTCTTGTGGCTCCATGAAAAGGTTGGACTGGTGGTCGAATGGGTAATGGTGGCCAGTATTCTAGCTAATCATGCTGCAAAGGTTATTTCAACTTAAAAGGTTTTGTATCTTGGTTATCTTAAATGAATATAAACAATTTGTCATTTTTATGCCTAAAGGTTCCACTAAGGTGCTAATTGGTGGTTTAGCATTATATATTGTGTCAAGCTATTACATTGTAATAGATCAACAGGACCAAAAGTTTACAGCTAAGCTATTGTCTTAAATTTAGTGGGAGTGCACTAAGAATTAGTGTCAGTGCGCCATTCCTGATCAGGGCATTGCTGAGCTAAGCCAAGGTTGGGAATATCCTTAGCTTAGCTTAGCAAGCCACCATTGGCAGAATTGATAGTCATCAAAGTTTGAAGTTGCTATCCTAGACCAAGTTGTAGAGACAAGGGAAAAGGAAGCAAGTGAGATTGATGGAGAAAGAATTGTACTTGACCAATTTTTGATTCAAATTGATCTTGATGCAACAGAGCCCAAAGTTTTAAGGCTTCCTCTGGGTTTATGACGGTGAAACTTGAAAGCTGGTGTGGAGCATCTTGCAAAGTGCTGTATTATTGGTCAAGAACAATAGATTATCAAATTTGAAATGGCTTCTGAAAAGAGGGGAAAAACCAATAACAAATTGGGTTTTTTGAAAAAGTGGAAAATAGATGATTTTCACAAAATAATGCATTTCTGCCCGTTTATGTAAGCTATACCAGACAGAGCCTCAGATTATAGGCACAGTACCAAGTCAGTTTACTTTGAATGGTTCAATCTGTTTGATGGCAGCTGCTGTATCTGGATATTTGGCAAATGATTCAAAAAATCAGAAGAAGAAGAGGACTTGTGGATGGGTTTTGATGAACATAAGAAGGAGAAGGGAGTTGTATACTTGAATAACTAGAGAAGTTTGAAGTTATATCAGAACAGTGATTCATCCAATAACCAAAATGGAATTTAAAGTATTGCCCTTCAAGAAAATTGAAGACTGATAAATTTTTGTATATGATGAAGTGTAGGGCATTGATTTGGTTTAGGACTTTACAATGTTGACATGTGTAAAACACCTTGGTTATGTTTTTTGATGTTTTTTATGCATTTCTTGAAGTGTCTTTGAGCTAACAAGCTATCAAATAAGTTTGCACCAAGCGCTGTGATCTTTTTAAGACCTTCCAATTTCTTGAGAGGGAATTCACAATGCAAAGTTATGATTTTTGAAGCTGAGGGGAGGAAGCAATGTTAGTTTTCAACAAAGTGATACAGTTGCTTTAGCAGATTTGTTTTCCCCTTGAGTTGAAAATCTCTCTTTGAGATGAGAATTATGTTTACTCCACCTCCTTTTACCTTTATCATTAACATGTCATCAAGTGTTGTTGGACTTCAGAAAAAAATAATTCAGTTTTTTACTACCTTAAAGAAGATTAAGCTTCAAAAGTTACCACTGAAAAACAAAAAATATGGTCTTTGCTGTGTAGTTAAAAACTGAAATTGAATTTTTTATTTTTTCTCAATGGCCAACATATAACAAAATGGTTGTAAATTCAGTCAATCTCATAAAGCTTGACGAGAATTCCGGGCCACGGATGTTCAAAGGCACAACAACTTCCGAATGTTCCCCTGAACGTGGCAACGCGGATAGCTCCCGTGACCCGAAGACCAGTAGACCCGAGTACCGGGCTGCTCATCATATGATGTTGGATGGAAATTTCAAGCCTGATTCTCCCCAATGATTTTTGTAAATCGCGTACCCCAAGTTCCAGCAAACAATCGATAACTCTCAGAACAGCGAACCTCAAAACTTTTTCTGTCCTCCCACCCGCGCCTGCGCCCTGCCAGCAGGGAACCTACCTACTTCGTACGGTAGTCTACGGCCACACGCCCACCCCGAAACACGTTACTGAACTAGATCAGTAAGATCAGACTACTGTCTCATAAAGTGTGTAGGTTTGTGGATAAGGATTCGTGTATAAGGAATGGAACTCAATCCATCACTATACATTTCACCCGGCCTGAGCACATCCCACAGTGGGAGGGGAAAGCCAAATCACTTGATCTTCGCGGGCAAACCTCGGTCAATCTTCTTGAAATCGACTGTAAGATCGCATTATGTGATGGTTTGATTGCGTCCTGATCTGTTTACATGCATTGTGACTCTTGAATATCCAATTTGACCAAAATTCCCCGCATTTCAAACATCGATATCAGGCGATGCGTCGTTGTCCACTCTCGTCCGCGGAACTCGCTGATAGCGGAGAATTCAAGTCGTGAAGTGATACATTTTTGCTGTAGATCGTAAAGTTCCTCCAAGAGTTCTTGGGAATTATTTTGGAATTTTAAAACTTTGTTTGGCTTCTTCTCGCACATGTTAATCCATGCATTGAAGATACGTATTTTGACTGTGATAAAAATGGCAAATGGTAGCCGATGGATTTGAGCGGGTAAGAGTCACACTGCGTAGCATATTGGCCTTCATATCTTCCTAGTCTCTGATACGATATAGACTTCGATATCCAGAGCAATCTAAAACGGATCGGAAAAGTATACTCGTACGCATACCTCATATTATCGCTAGGCTTGATTGGTAGCGATTTCCACTTGCGCCATGAACATCGCGGAAGAACACGAGTTAAAGACGATCAGATTAGGTTCATCTTATTCTGACCGACGATCACGCATAGATACGTCGAAAGAAAGCCGAAAGCCTATGAAAACGCGCGATACACACTCTTCAATTACAGCAGACAGACGAGTAGGCCCCATGGAGCCCTTTGAATGCAACTATAGCGATATTACCGCTGCGTATTCCCTCTCACACATTGAGCATCATCAAACAGACCGGTCCTCAAAAATTGAGACACAAAGGTCAGCTTTTCCTGTAAAGAAATGGATTGATACAATTATTGACTAGTCTATCGTTTTTGATCTTGTTGGATGCGTCACAGAGAAAACCGCAGGTCTTCACGTTCGATTTCTCGTCAAGGTTGGATAGTCATCATTGGCCATTCAATCTTGATGGTCTTCACCATCATTTTTCTCATCTTACCACTTTACAGACAATGCGCTATTCCCAATCGATCAGCTTTACTCGTAAAACGTTCACCTCGAATCTCAATATTGATTGTCACGGGACTTGCAACGATTTGTTCGACATCTGGATCATAGTTTAGTCTTCTTCACTGAGTTTATCTTACGATCACGGATAATGAAGACGAGAAAGATACACATTTATTCTGATTGAAAAAAAAAACAGCTTGTTCTCGCGCGCTGTCGTTATTATGCTTCAGCGACGGTTAAAGAGACCTATCTCTCTGATCCAATTGGTCTCCATCATTGAACTTTCAAGAGGTTCATTATCAATAAAACTGTCCTACCTTAGTTATTGTCTCATCCCGATCGTCCTAGTTGCTTTATTGGAAACACTGACCGCTAGGTAAGTAAAATTGTATCAAACTCATTCTTTGTATTGTACGCCCACAATTCGGTTGCTAACTGAAATATTGCAATACAGCTTTGCTACCTTACTCACTCCTACGAGGATTGAGGTTATGTCCACGATTCGAGGGAGTGAGATCGATTTCGCTAGCGCAGCTTTTAATGAATTCTTCATGACTTCGCCGATTTATAATCAAACAGTAAAATCTTGTGAGGCATATTTGGAATCGCGTTTTCTGCTAAACAAAACTTCAAATGATTGATTTCCTTGCTATTCATGAAGTGCAAAGTAACGACCCAACGGCTCTTGGTCCTCTTCTGACATCTAGTGGAATAGCGTCTGCTTATTCTGAACTCGGATCGTCGAGTTTACTCAAATTCAGAGGAGCATTTTTCAATGCTTCCACAGGTGTGTTTCACTCTATTTGATGAACTTTTGGCAAACAGATATATGACCTATACTCATGTACCTCACGGATCCTAGCTGGTGTGCTTCCCATATTGAAAAAAGACGTCAGTGGAATGGAAGATGAATCATCTACTCAAAAGGATGTAAAAGGAATACTATCAAATGAAATTCCAAGTCGATTTTCAATATCTGGTCAAACTTGGAAATTAGGGAAACAGTTTTCTTCAAATCATACAATGTTTCAACAAGGCTTTACTGCGAAGGTGAAATGTAAAGTACGAAATGTATCCGAACCAAATCGACCATCTTTATTGTCTTCTGCTAGACGTATTGAATTTCCAGATGCCAATGTATCAAAATCTTTGAATTATACTTTGTTTCAATTGACTTTTGACGCAAAGTGTCCAGATGGACAAGTCCTCGGTAAGTCAATTTTGGTATTTCTTACTATAAACCTCAATGATCAAATATGGAACACTGATGATACAGGATAACCTTTTCAATTTTGAAAATCTACTCACTTGATTTACAGTGGTTGACAGTCTTGTCACCGCGATTGGAACGAGATTCCTTGATGGAGGTATAGCTCAGGTGACCCTGTGCTCTGACCAAGATTTATCTGGGAGTAAAACTCCAGGTCATCATTGTAAGTGACTACTTGAGATCTAGAGTGTATCTGTCATGCAACAATTAACTATATATCATTCCTCAGTAATAACAGTTACCGGATCAGGTGGGGGCTATGGATTTCTAGACTCAACTGTATGCGAAATAGACACCAGAATCACAAATGTCCAAGTAAATTACAAAGGATCCATCAATTCTGGTGAAGTGAACAATACTCAAAGTATTACATCAGAGAATGCGTTGATCTCTAGGGCAATAGTATCACTTCTTTCAGTTATGATAAGTAAATCTCAAACTATTTATACTACTGGATTTGGTGATGTGATCAAAGCTATTTATAATAGTCAAAACCCATCATCAACTTTGAACACTACTTATTTTATTTCTGGTGGTGCAAATACTACTTTCATTAATCAGATCTTAGTAAGATTTTTTTCCCAATATCACTGAGTTGAAAATATCCTGCTTTTGTTGATTTTGGAAACTCTTTTTGAAAATAGGAACTTTATTTTAAAGGTCAAGTTGAATTTTTAGCAAGCGTGAGTTTTGAATCTCAAATGAAATCGCATAATTAAATCGCTAAAAAAATATCTTGATGATGTCCTGATGGAATGTGCGTCATAATTACAGTACTTTAGAGCCGCTATCTCAGTAGGAGGTGTATTCCCAGATGATCAATTACCTCAAAATATGACAAAGAATGTAAAAGGTGAATGGTATACCGAATCAATAGGATGGGATCAGACAAAACATAAAAAAACACCGTATATCCTTGGACCATTAATTCCAATCTTTGTCATTGGGTCTCTATCAATGATTTTAGTTCTGGGACCATACATGGACTATTCGGAAGAAAGCGGTAGGAATCAAAATCCAAAGTTTCAACCTGATAATTTGATTGAGGTTTTAGTGGCTTCTACTTATGGTGAACTTGGAATTCAGCTGAGAAGATTAAAGGGTCAAGGATTGAAAAAAATCGGATTACAACAAGTCGAAGTTCTGGAACCTTTAGATGATGAAAGATGGAAAATTAAACTTCATAGACCAAATTCCTTGGATTAAATCTTGGAGGCATTTTTTGAATTGATTTATTTTGAAATATAGTATTTATTATGTAAAGTTGTGGTTGTATGATTTTTTTCGCCTTGAATCCTTTGGAACAAAAGAAATCAATTATGAAAGTCTATAAAATTATCATGGGGTGGAAAGTTGTAATGGAACCTAGGTTCAAGAATTGGTATTCCTTTCTATAGCTTATTGTCACATTTTCCGAAAATGATGATCTTTCTACTTTCTCATGAGCCTTAGTGAAATTGCAACAATGTGTGAGGTCAATTTGATACAATGCCTTTGGTGTCAGCATAGAAATCTCTGTGAATAAACAGTCGTCTGCTTCGCTTCATAGGGATGAAAAATTCAACTCCATTTCTCTTGTCCTCTATAGTACTCTAGTCGATGTTTCATCAGATACATGGGATTGTGTTACATCTTTTTCAGTCAATATCCGCCACTAATAATAATAAAATATATATATGTACGTATCATGAATAAAACAGCAAAGGTTTTTTAGAGTGAGGGATGAGGATCAACGAAATTCAATAAAGCAGCAAGATACTCATTATCAGCTGGCATGACTTATAAATTTCGTGTCTATTGCAGAGGCTTGAGAGTGAAGCTGGAATTTAACTTACCGTTCGGAAAAGCATTGCTGGTGTAATTGCAATCACGTCCAAGCAACACAATAAGGCATTTATAGATCGATATGTTGGACTACACCACAAGGTGAAAGCGAATATATTGACAGAGGTGACAATTTCAAGGTCAGCTTGTGGGTTAACTGGTTACCGAACACGCTCCATAGATAAGGCATATTCCAAGATTTCTAATCGCATAGATTCAATTCGAAGAAACTCAACTTGCTCAGCTCGTCAGCCGATAACATCAATTGGAAACCAACCCCAACGTCAAAGAGAAGCCCGATGAGCATAAGTGTACAGTGTCGGACCAGATACCCTGGAGTGAAGGTTTTAGATGAGTTTGACAAAGTCATTCAGGAATCAGCTCTCAGTCATTTTTTCAAAAACATCCTGTTTGACCTTACTATAGCCTTTTTCCAGTTCGATCTGATTTTGAGACGGTTCGTTGATCGGTTGCTGAAGCGGTAGATCAACCGCACAAAGCTCGTGGCTTGCCAATTCAGTATTTCGCCACCATCCTGCCCCAGGGAATCTCTTCTTGCTTTTGAAAGCGCGTTTGCTTCTCTCGATAATGTTTTCTGTTGGAATTTCACATGAGCCTATCTTGCCACTTTTAACTATCTTGAACGAAGAGCGAATGACTTTGACAAATGCAATGACTGCAATGGCGTAAAACTGTGTTAATGAGAATTCGTGACATGAGGTACAATTACAAATAAAAGTGTTAATTTCTGGACTTTTTATACCATCCCATCGGCATCCTTGAGCGATTCGCGTTCATTATCATAATCAAGAAAGATGGAGAGATGGTCAAATACACGTACAGAAGCAAGAAAAAGCCCAGCTACAATCCAGCTAATGGATGAGTACTTGAGAATTTTGATCAAGAGATCAGTCTCTGATCTCATGATATCAAATGCCTCCGCGGGGCTGAACAAGGTGTGTAGAAGAAGGTGCGGCGTCAGAGAAGATTTGGAGTTGGCTTCTTGTTGCTCCCAAGCGTCAGAAGCAGCGCGAAAGCAAACCACGAGCTGGTCATAAGCTGAGAAGAATTTGGTCATGCGATTGCAGATTAGAATTGCAAAAGAAAAGCAAGACAGCGTGACCAAAATGGGGATGAGTGCGAAGATTGTGTTGAGAATCAGAGGTTGGCAAAGTGTTCTTCTTGTATGTGTCTGGATTGGAGAGCATAGCCTGTGATGGAAAATGAAAGCTGTGTGAGATAGATTGATGATTCCGATAAAGATACATCAATTTTGTCAGACGTTGGCACTCACCATGCATAAAGTGCTGAGACAGCAGTCAGATAGAACCCTATATAACCTGTGCCATTGATATGCCCATGAGGGCAGCCGATATAAGCCAACGCTTTTTGAACCCAAGCTCTCTTGTCTTCTCAGATCATCTGACTGAGGCCCTCTGATATACAACATGGACAAAACATACCTGGTAGCCAGCACACGTCGTACCTGTAATATTGTAATGTTTTGTTGAAAATATTTTGAACAGGAAAGACACCCGTAAGTTGATGAGAAGAAGTCAAAATCAAAGAATGAGAAATTATCATACAGTGATTCTATGAAAAATCAAGCAAGGCGGAGGACTTGCCACACATAAATGTAGGACCATCTTAAGACTTTTCGATCCTTGAAGCTAAAGTAGCTCAGAACTGTATAGATCAAGAACATAAAATTTGCGAGAGCCTGAGTGATTGCCACTGCCTATGAGGATGTATTTTTATCATTTGAGTCATCTTGTTATTCAATACGAAGGGTGATCCAAAGGTGGACGGTTAAGACCAGGAAAGCACGCTCGATACGTACAAGGCCTGCGTTTGGTATATAAAAAGGGGATACGCCTGTTATAATTCAGTGAAAGAAATTTTGAGCAATTCGAACACACGGTGTTAAGAAATTGAATCACAAAAGCTCAACTGCTGTCGACATGATGTGTGCGAAACCACCAAACGTGTTTGTCTCTAGCATGCCCCCTGCGCCTCAGTGGTATGAATACCACAACAAGACAAGCAATTATTGTTATGATATTGCTAGCTCCAAAGACCACCAGAAGAACGTAGGTAAATTTTGGTACTGCTGGAAACACCCAACCGTCAACGAGATGCATGATAACTTCGTAAGGGTTTTGCTCCGGTGGGATGCGGTTGAACAAGTATTCATATGGCGGAATTGTTGAGTGTTGGGTGGAAGCGACCAGAGAAAGGCGAAGGTGGCTCATCGGATTGTAGGTAGACGGGGAGATAAAATTCTTCAAAAGTGTCGACAGAGGGCACAGAGCGCAAGCCAAAGAGCTATGTAGCCTATAAGATAAAATAGGAGTTCCAGTAGGCGAACCAGTCACTCACAGACAATTCGATCTTATTGATATCATCCTTCAAAACAGGGGCATCAACTTTCAGTGCTGAAAAGATGTAATCTGTACGGGATCAGGCTCACGTATACGAAGACTTGGAAAAGGCTCAATCCTGAGACCGATCCGATGGCTTCAACTGTACGCAAGCGACAGTTCCCTAGCCCACGTCAATGTTTTGAAAAAAGAGTACAATCCACAGTACAGGAAATTCTGACAGAAAATCGCCTCACAAATCAGGAATTTCGAAAGTCATCAAGTTAACCTTCACAGCGGCGAGATAAACAGCCGGGCGAATTTATGCAAGAAGTCCTTCGAAAGACTTCAAAGGAGCCCGGCAGCAGTGAGTGTTGTCAAATCTCGTCAAATCAAAGACGTCTCAAATAAATCGGCCGGAATCTTGGGGCCCGCCAGACTCCACGGTCATACATACAGTACCACCTTTCTGCAGGTGACTCGTTTAAGAGATTGTCAAAACTTAAAGTATGCTGCGAATTCACATTATCTCGATTCCTGCCAGCCTTTTTATGCAGTTTGGAGAATTTATCTAGGTCCTCCACACCTATTTTCAACCTTACATAACTATTCCGCGAGATTCGAAGCCCACCAGATTTCAGTGGCTGATCAGTCGAAAGATGTGTGGGAAGCACTTGTTGGGAAATCCTGGTAAGAGATCTGTCCTCAATGGCCAGGACTTCTACCTGAAGGATAGCCGAAATGATCCCTTCCCGAGTAGGCGACAGAAGGCGCGCGATACATGGGTGCGATACTTGATCTGAGATGATGTTGGAGGTGTACCTGCTTGCTGAAAAGTCAAGTCCGGGGAGGTAATGATCCTTGGAGGAACTCGTGATCGTAGATAAAGATGACAATCAGTATGTATGTATGTGATCACCAAATGAATCTCAAATGAGTCATGTGTGGTGAAAACTGGGAAAATATGATGAAGAAGTACCCCATTCTAGCTGTTCCAACATAAATCTTGGTGCCATATATTGCTCGTAGACTCCTTAAGCAAGTTTGACCCTTATAATACAGAAGAAAGCTTATTTTCTCATCACTCTTGCACCATATCTTTACCAAAATTTACTCTTTTTGGCCCGCTGGGGGGAAGGATGAAGTTTACCGGACCTCTTAAAAAGGAGATGGCATTTGAATAACAAAACAACTTGACCTGAAAAAATGAGATAAAAAGTCAATTTGGACCATATCTTCAACAACACCACATCTGTGTACAATATATCAGTAATAACTCACTATCAACGTTTACAAAGGCCATGGGATATGGTCTTTCCTCAGGAGCCAGACCTTGACACCATTGATAGTTCTTCAAGGAAGATAGAACCACAAATTTCTGTGCTAATGAAGATTTCCAAGACCATTTTTACTTTGCTGAACCTCTCTCCTTGCCCCTCAAATTTCTAAAAGTTTCTGAGGTGATAAATATATATCTTTCTTACATACCTATACAATCATCACCATTCATAATTTTCTCCAAAATGCAAGTGTTGGCTCAGAAATAGCTCATATTCATTACCTTTTGAATTCTATCATTATGATATAACTCAAAATTGACATCAGCTATATAAAAAATGTGCATGTAAATATGTTTTGAGGTTCATTTGGATCTGTCAAATGTAAAACTTTTAGCCATATGGTTTCAATTTTGGGCAAATTAAAAAAGATATCGCCCAAATTTGTTCTTGATGAATGATACATGGAACATATTGGTGAGATTTTTATCACATATATAAGCATCACTTCTATCAGTTTGACAACAAAAGGCATATGTGTTGTGATAAATGAATGAAGATTTACTTTCTAGCAATTTTGACATGATCCATCCTTGGATCCTGACTTCTTGTCTAACAAGTGCGCCACTTTCAGATAAATATAAAATCATCTGCTTGCACATAGCAGTTTCTAAAATTTTACAGAAGATGAACACACAAGGTCTCACAATGGACACAAAAGACTTGAAGAAACCCTACATCCTTTCTTGATGATATTTACAAATTGATGCAATGTTTTCGGTGCGCAATGTGGCCGCCTGGCCTGTAGAAATTGATGAGAGGGAAGTTAGCTACCCACTAGTTGATAAAATGACAGTAAGAGTCTTGTTTGGAGGTCAGCATGGCTTAAACGATTACTGTCTTGGGGTCCACCCACCATCAAATGCCTTTCGTTGACATTCCCAGCCTTGGTTCTCACCAATTTGGGTTTTGAGAGATTGGAGGTGAAGTCACTTTTACAGCTGAAGCAATATTTTGATCTGCCATTCTATAGCTTGGCGGCCGATGACATGTAAGAACATTTCAGAATCAGTCAACATGATGAAACAGTGATTTTTGAGAATGCTTTTATGGACTCAGCTTATCGTGTTCCTCGAAAATGAATTTTGGAAAATAAATCAAAAGCTTGCTTCACTACTTTTTCGGAATCGCGTCTTATAAGGATTCGGAGATGCTTTCAAAGAACGATGCTTTTTTCAAATCACCAAAAGTTTCTTTGAAATCAAGAAACTCATATGATTCAAGAAGATATCACACTTCATCAATTGCTGACCAGGGAGCAACGACAAAAATATGCTCCAATGACTTCAAAGTTGAATATCCCATGGTTGGAGGCGTAATGAAGGCCAATCCGCTTCAAAATTCTGACTTTCTTGATTTCAGTATCCAAAGATTACAAAATTGATATGTCCATCAGCATTTAGTATCATTGCAAAGTCAATCCTGGCACTAACGATCAAGAAAAATGAGTGATTGAAATACAAACATTATCGCATTATTTAAAAACGCTAATAGAGTGCTTAATGCTAAAGATCAGCGATCAGCGATCAGCATCAAATATGTCTGTAAGTATAAAAAGCTCACTTTTCCCTGAAATTCTTTCTCCCCTCTCCACCACCACACTCTTCACTCAACCATCGCATAAAAAACTTGTTCACTTTTCTTTGAATCTTCCTCCGCTTGATCATCATGAATTATACTAAAGCTTTCATCTCACGTCTTCGAAAGACATGCTTGATTTATTTACCTTTCAATTTCTTCTTCGTCATCAGTTTAATCATAATCACTTCCAAAATCTATACACCTGATGTTCCCGACAGTTTTATATTAAAATTAATCGCTCGAAACTTGATTATAATCCTTCCATGGGCTCTTTTCTTTTCTAATACACTTTACTCACACTTTGACGCAATCCCTCTCAACAAGCCCATCGCTGACAACGAAGAAGACATCGAACTTGGACCTTTACCTTCACACCGCCCTACTTCTAAGCTCCGCGCTTCAAAGGGTAAAGCTCCAGCGAAGATCACTCCTCATCAATCCGTTGTAAATGACCTTGGTATGTCATCTTCTCTCCTCGTTTTTCTCTTGCTTCGTTTTTGAGCCATTCTAACAATCTTTGTTTGATTTTGTAATCCTTTTTAGGTGAAGGTCCCTCGAGCCGCCCTTACGGGATCGAGCAGACTGCTTTCTCCGAATTTGTTGACATCGACCTTGGTTAGTCATCTTTCCTATTTTCGCTACTTCTGCGATACATCCTAACAATCGATTTTTTGATTTTTTAATCCTTTTTTAGGTGAAGGACCCTCGAGCCGCCCTTACGGGATCGTGGATGCTTCCTCCTCCGAATTTGTTGACATCGACCTTAATATGTGACTTCTTCCGGTACTTTCCTCTATGCTGCTTCCCTGAACCGTCCTAACGATCACCTGCTTTTCAATCATTTTTAGGTGAAGGTCCCTCGAGTCGCCCTTACGGTGGGATCGAGTGTTTCGTAAACTGATTCTGGTTAGTCATTTATTCTAGTGGCGTAGCTTTTGGAAGGGGTTTTGACATTCCCTTTGCTATTTCAACCTTTTAGATAACGAACGTCTTATGATTTCTTCTAGCTTAATATTTTAAAAGTTATTAAAAAATGGTTATGATCCTCTTACTCTTATGTCAGATGGGTTCAATTTCCCCTATCCGTTGATGTAGATACATAGAATTTTATGATTCGAAGTTTTGGTCACAAATTTGGAATTTATGATAGATTGATATAGATCATCTTTGGTAATCTTTTGAGTATATACTCTGATTCTGAGTGCTCCCTTGTGAGCGCAAATGCATACAAACATGATGAATACTCTGAGCTGCTGCCTATTCAAAGTTCGTTCATGAGATATCTGATGGGGTGTGTATCACACATCCTCACATTACATTGTCGCAATCTGATGATAAGATATCCTCATAAACCTCATTTAAGGACGCAGCTTCTATCTCTTGCAGCAATTGTGGTTCGCTGGCTAAGCTTGATTGGGTGCTTCAAGCTCCAAGTAGATGCAAACATCATAGTTTTCATAGTGGATTTCATTGCGTGGATTTGGGTCTCACTATTATCTCTAGGATACCAAGATCCTTCAAATCCCTTCTCTGTCTTCGTAGCAAATTCGAATTCGAGCGTTTGTTCGTAAAATGAGACATAGAAATGAATGATTCCTATGAACTTCATGATGTAAACAGCACAGACAAGTGGTAAGCCGTGAGATGGGCTTGGGTTGGGGTAAAACCTCCCAAGTTCTCAAGCCTATATCGATGATCCTGGAGACGTTTGACCGACGAGAAGATGCCCTTCGATTGGAGAACATCTGGAATATTCGTTTCCATGCCTTTGTTCGATCAGCTGGATGAGATCGATCAGACGAAGAGATTTGAGTTGATGGTCCTTTTTGGGATAAATCTGATGGCTCACTCGATTACCATGAAGCGAATGTCTGCTCTCAGTGCTGGAGCCTGGGTCTCAACAAGACCCCGGAGACTTGTTCTTACCCGAAATCAGTTATCTTCGAGTTTCGGGTTTTTGTCTATTCACTTCTGAAAATGATTTCGATCCTGATCAGCACATCCTAAACTGATTTTGTACTCTTCGTTCGCCTTGAGTCTTGATTAATCTACCCCAAAGCTCACACAAGATGGCTTCTATCTTAATAGTGATGGGTGTAAGCGGTTGCGGGTGAGTATGATTGAGCACAGGTCATACTTACTTATAAATCTCTACAACCTGCTAATCACCATCAACTCATAGGAAGAGTACAGTTGCAATCGAGCTAGCCAAAAGACTAAAGGTCGAATTTCTAGACGGTGATGATGTCCATCCTGAATCAAATATTCGTAAGATGAGTTCTGGTATACCATTAAATGAGGAGGTATGTCTTATGATCGATCGATGTTTCGATTGAAGACTGGTCCACATTTACTTCGATTCTTGGGGTCCTCCTTCTTAGGATCGTTTACCATGGCTTTTAAGCTTGAGAGAAAAAGCAGTGGAATTAGTTGAAGTAGCTCATTTGCGAAACCCGAGAAATTCAGTTGATCTTCCACCACCGATGGCTGTCATAGCTTGCTCTGCATTGAAATCTTCTCATCGGGACATCCTACGAGGCCTTCACAGTCTTCATGCAGCTTCAACATCCAGTGTCCAGATAAAAACTTACCTGATCTACCGTAAGCTACACCTTCGCCTTAATAATTGTCTCAATGGGTATTGAACTTGAACATCCTCGCTTTTTCGCTTGAAACTAGTCAAAGGATCTAAAACATTAATTGAAAGTAGAATGAAAGCTCGTCAAAATCATTTCATGGGAGCTGAAATGCTTGAATCACAATTACGAACTCTTGAAGAACCTAATCCGGAAGTTGAAAATTCAACCAATAGTTCTATCATCACTATATCTCTCGAATCGAGAGAAAACAGTCAACAAAAAGAATTATCCGAAATTGTTGAGCAGATATTGGCCAAACTCAAGGAGGAAGGATGTTTATCAAGGTAAGCGTTCAATCTGTGATTCTCTGTGACCGTGCCTCTCATAAATAATCGAATTGGATAAACATTTTTGAAGCAGACCAACTGCATCAGACTCAGTAACTCTTCCACCAATAGAAAAAGTAGTTGGCCCGGAAGCTGAAGCCAAAGAATCAAGAAAAGCCCTTTCATTACTTTTTGAAGTTTCAGAATCAATCGATCGATGCTTAATACCTCTTCTACAAAAGATCGAATCACCATGCCATACCTATGAAGATTTAATCTTGGTGTGTCAGCAAATAGTCGAAGAGGAGTTTGATTTAGAAGATCGAGTGAGCTTCTTAGGTAGTCATCCTCGGATTGGTGAAGTCAAAGGTCTTAGTAAAATAAGTGCTAATGAGCAACAGAATCATAAGCCAACCGATCCCAAAGTCTTACAAGAACTTGAGGCAAGTCCCTTCCTTTGTTGAACAATGAGATCCACAAACACGGTTCTTAAATTGTCCGTTAAGAAACATCACTGATGATAGAATTGCTTTGATGTGGCACTTCAGCGGTTGAACCGAGTTTATGAAGCATCTTACCCCGGCTTAAGGTATGTGACGTTTGTGAATGGAAGGTCAAGGGAGGAGATAATGCACGAGATGCAACACAAATTGTACGGCGATGGAGGTTTGCAGGACACGCTCATGATCCACGAGCGCGATGATGCATGGCACATTGAGGTCGCGCGAGGTATCAAAGACGTATTCAAAATCGCAGTGAGCCGGCTTGGCGTCTTGCAAAGGAAATGAAGTGACACCGCGTGCGAATACGAAAAGCTCAACGTCCACAATCTTGAAAAGGTATCACCGCAATGTGATGAGCAATGCAATGCGAGTTGGGGTCCATATCAGAGTGAACACTCAAATGTATTAATTTCATCATAATGCAATCAACATCTATTCCTCATCTGCTTCGTCATCTTGGTCAGCTAAGAAGTACTTGAGTTCATAAGTGTTCTTGCTAGAGGCAATGACCCTATAGAACAAAGATTCAACCGATACGTTAGTGATTGATAGCTAGATAGTCATAAAAAGTAACCTACCGAATGTAATTTCGGATTTGGTGCTTCTTGAGGAACTTCTTGGTCAAGTATTTAAGGTATCTCTTAGAGAAAGGGATAGTAGAAGAAACAGAGAGTTTGTAGGTACCTGAAAAACATGTCAAATGCTTCATTAGTAATTATTATACAAAACCAAACGAGAAACTCAAGAAATTCAAAAATAAAGTAGAAAACTTACCCTCAGTTTCAATCTTGATCTTATCACCTAGTTGTCCAGCACGTCCATCAACTTTGATTCGATCGTGAAGGAACTTTTCAAAAGCAGGTCCATCGAAAACTCCATCACCAGCCGGTTTTGAGAAATCAACGTAAAACTTCACAGGTTTAGCAGCAAGAGCAGTAGTAGTGGTCTTTGACTAAAGATTGGTTTTTTGGTTTTCGGTTTGACGTAAAATCGTTTTTGAATGAAGGGAAAAAGTTAGTCGGAATCTTTAATCTCTACCGAGACGCTAATGAAAGCCATTCGGCAAAAGATCATCCTAGATAGACTCACGGGTGCCATTTTTGTTTTTCTGATTGAGATAGAAAAAGATGGATTTCCGGATGGCCTACACGTAAAGTTGTGCAAAGCTAGTGAATCGTACTCTGGTGAGGAATCCGAGCGGCAGACTGTATGCGCTCAAAAGAATGGTTTGGTGTGTGAGACTGACAACTGCAGAGATTAGGTTAAGGACTTATGGTTACGCAAAGGGCGCGCATCCGGGTTGCGCATCATCGGGCGAATCTAAGTCGTTGAGCCTGCGTGCACTCCATGATGCATGCCCTAAATATTACACCACCTTTAAGACTGCTCCAGACTGCCAGTTGACTAAGGGTACTCAAAGTAAGTATGTACGTGTACATACTTTTTGCTATATACTTTTTTTGGCGGGGAAGACAAGGCCAAAAGTATCTTTTTTTCTTTGTCCCCGCCAAAAAAAGTATGTAGCGAAAAGTATGTAGCGCTACATACTTTACTTTGAGTACCCTTACTGTTTACAGCCGTTCCAAGAAAGGTTGACAACTTTTTTTTGGAGAAAGTTGTCTCCGCAGCGGCTAAAACCAAAGACAAAACTTGATTACAGGTTTACAGCCGTTTCAAGAAAGGTTGACAACTTTTTTTGGAGAAAGTTGTCTCCGCAGCGGGTAAAACCAGAGACAAAACTTGATTTACAGGTTTATTCTTTTCTGTATTCTTCCAATTAGCCGAGAGACAAAATCGGGTGAGGGACAAAACAGGACAAAACCCGGGTTTTGCACATTGGCGAGATTTTCAAAAAAAAATCAATCTTTGTTGAAACAGCTGTATTATTTCCTGTATTCTTCCAATTAGCGGAGAGACAAAATCAAGTGAGGGACAAAACCAGGGTTTTGCACATTGGCGAGATTTCCAAAAAAATCAATCTTTGTTGGAACAGCTGTAGGTGACTGTTGAGGGATCCGAGTAGTTTAGGGATCCTCTCAAGGTCCTACAGAATGGAAAAAGAAAGTTTCTCAGATATAGATTTAGACTCCCTTGAGCCTTGAATCTTTGTGGAGGAATGGTCTGATGCTGAATTGATGAATTTATCCATTTCATCAATCATTGTGAAACTTCATGCCCACATATCCTCATAACATAATTGCATTTGACCATTTCTGGATATTTTGGAAAAAAATGATGAGCTTGAATTCTGTGATACTATATCCACCAACTTGTGATATTCAATCATACTTTAATGGTTTTGGCATCTTCTATCTCTACCTTAGAAAAAATCTCAAGTCAGGTTTTGTTTGTGCACACTTAAGAATGAGGAAGCTTTCTTCTTGGCCAGGTGACTCTCTATCAAGAATCAAGCTTAAGGACCTTGATGTTGCAAAGTGATGTTGATTAACCTTCATCAAGTTGATCATCAACAGAAGAATAAAGTTAAAATTTGACCACATGGGTTTTATTCTCCATATTCTGGAGCCATGATAAATAATTTCACTGGGTTATGATCCTATGATAATCATTGAAATGTCAATACGTAAAGCAAAATAAATTCAAGTTTGTAGGTGTATGTGTTATCAACTGATGACCAATCTGATTTCTTTCAAAATCCAAATCATCATCATTTCGATACTCCAAATATCCAAAACCTCATAACCAACTTTACTTAATTCCTCAATCTGAATTTCAAAAAAAAAGGAAAAACAACCACTGGAATTCAAACTTCTTAAACATATGCTAAATAATAAACTTTTTTTTGCTAATGATTTTTTTATAAACATGATATCTTGATATACAAAGACAAAGAAGAAAAAAAGACAAGTAAATAAACAAGCAAATACATATAAATAAATAAATAGAAAATCAAAAACAACATCTTTTCATGTATACAAGATGTTTAATAAAGATCTGCACTGGAAACTTTTCCATGAGTGAGGGGGGAAGGAACAAAAAAAGAAAAACATGATTCTTGGATTTATATTTATATGATTTAAAGAAATATATAGTTTTTCCTTTATTTACTAAGATTTCATAGATTTAATTGGAATGATATCTAAAAAAAACACTAGATTCCTCAAATCAAATCAAGTCTTTCGTTGATCGAGTTCCAGAATATGTTTCTTCAAAATTTGAAGGCTTCATTTTCTTTTGATCATCATCTTACTGTATTGTCCTTTAAAATTCTAACCTATGAAGTCATTGATAATCAATTTCATAAAGCTTGATGAAGTGTTCCCAACTTGAACGAATTAACGATGAACTTATGTCAAGCTTTCTGGTAATATGCTATCAAAGATCTCATGCTCAGATCTATAAAATCCCACGAACCAATCAACAAAAGTTTAAGAAGGTCAGTTTTATTGTGAAAGAACTGAGTGAATAGATCAACATTCAAAATTAACTCACGCCTGGACATATAGGTTTGGTATCAAGTTTATCAGCAAGCCAATGTGAAAAAGTCAAAATGATTCCATTAGTCCAACCGAATCCATCTTGTACTGAATATTCACCACCACCACCTGCGGCATTAACATTGGTAACATTGAATTTTTCAAACCTGAATGAATAATCCAATCAAAAAGAAGATCTTTAGTAAATTGAATAGCTAAAAGAAGTTAAGAGTAGAAAGGTAAACAATAGGTTTCTTACATGTGACCTGATTTTCCAATACTTCCAGCTCGATCTAAAGACTCAGCAGAAAGCTATAAAACATTAAAACAACATTAGAGATCTCGACTCAAGAATGATACCAGGGTGAAACAAAAGATCAAAACATACTTCAGGTACTACACCAGGAACACTTCCACCCGTAGCATACCAAGAACAAAACGAACTAGCAATCAATCTATGAGCAATAGTTTCAACCATTCCTTCACTCCAACTTTTCTCATTCACATTCTTTAGATTTCCAACATTTCCTAATTCACCAAACGTCAAATTATTGAAAACGATTCCAGTCCCATCACTCTTAGGTTGGTTAGGTAACTCATCTTCATTTAGTCCAAAATGATTAGATGGTAAGTAATTAAAGTTTGAGGCTTTTTCTATAAAGCTTGTAAAGTTTCCTTTTGAGATACTTTCAGGTAAGTTTTTATAGGCTTGTAAAACGATGTAAACGTGAGGTGGCCATACATTGGGAAAGTCCTAATCAAAATCGATTCAAATGAGCATGATAGATATCTGAAGGCCTTTTTGAACAATAATGACCGGAAAAGTTCAGATTTAACTCACCCATTGAAGTCCTGTTGGGATTAGACTTGCAGGTACAGAACCGTTGAATCGAGTAGCAAGGTAAGCAGGACCAGCAAGAGCTTTTTGAGCGATAGCTTCATCATTAATCATCGAATCAGGATAAATCCTAAACCAAATCAAATTAAAACTTCATCAATATTGATTGAACAAAAAATCAAACTGAAGAAAAAAATCATGTCAATCCTTACCCTGCCCAATAAGGTGCATAACTTGCAGGAGACCAAATCAGACTACGAGAATTAGAAGTTTGATTAAAATCATAAAACCCTAATCGGTTCTCATCCCAAAATAAATCAACGATAGCTTCTTTAAGATCTTTAGCACGACCTGACCAATATTGAACTTTTTCATTAGATGGTTCTATTTCTCTTTGGTACAGTTCACTTAAGGCAATAAAGTTTTTGTACATGATCGAGTTTAGGTCAATCTGTGTAATGTAAGAGTATGATCAGAGTAGGAGGTGTAAAAGATGTGGATCAGGATCTGGAATGTGAGTTGGTTGAAGAGTCAAAGGTTTCAAGATACTTGAGCATACCGGAAGAATGTTGACGATGTTCAAAGTTCTCAAAATTGGAGCGTTGATAACCGTGTCCGCTGTAGGTACTTTTGCCCACCTGATGTACCACCGGTGTGATGTACGCAGAAATCTTCATTAGTTAAGCTGACTTCTATTAGATTCCAAATATCATTTTCAAAAACAAAGGACACAAACCTAGAACCCGAATAATCAAGGCCTGATTCTGCGCCTGATGCCAATTGTGAATAGAGTAAATCACGATCATTGGAAGATAAGTTTCTTGAAGGAAGATAATCAGTAGGGTTTTTAATTTCTCCCCAGACTACTTCAAAATCAATATGATATCCTCTAAAAGATAAGACTAGAATCAGTAAAAGGCAAAAAAAGAAAATCACATAGGTTGACTGATATGAAAGAAAAAAAGGACAAACTCTGGACGAGGAGCCGAGTTCTTGACACGGTATTGATAAACATCATGTTTCCTTGAGGTGAATGGCGAATTAACTGATTCTAATCTATTCTCATGCCACCAACTGATTTCTTTTTCCACGAGCGGTAGAGCACGAGGCAAGAGGGAAATATCATTCCTAGAATTCAAAGTTTGATGCTCAGCACGGTAGAAACCCAAGACTTGAAATCGGATGACTTACGTGGTGGTTACATATAAATGCAACATCTGATGAGAAAAAAAGGGAAAAAATAAAATAAATCAAATCAAAGAGACAAGTTAATTGATTATAAAAAAACTTGAGTAAGAAAAAAATGGATTTATTATTATACCTGAGTAAATAAAGGAGGTTGTGATCGATTTAAATAATAAAGACGAGCTCCATTAGGAATAAATCCAAATCTTTCAATCTCATCTAAAAAATTAAGTAGTGTGAATTTGGCTAGACTATAAATCTCTGAATGTAAAAGTCCTTCCTGGAGAAAAAAAAAACAGTAAAAAAGAAGTCTCAGTGATTTATTTGAAGAAATTTTCTTAGGGTAGTAAGGGTTCAGTTTGATTGGGGATTACCATAACCCAGAAAGTGCTAATCGGTTTTAACAAAGAATCCGAATCAGTATATGGTTTTTTACTAGTTTGTTTGATGAGCTCAAAGGATATCGTAAAATAGGCTTACTCCCAGTAGCTGTTTTTTCCCAAAATTCGAAAACAAAACAAGATTGTGGTTAGCTATGTATAAATAAAACTTTTGCACAAAGTTCTTTACAATTGATCAATATTGTTTGAAGAAAGTGATCATCTTTGATCGAATTTTGAATGACTTGAAAAAGTATTTGGTGAAAGCGGAAATTCAAAAGATCATTGAGCTTACTAATTTTCCCGGAATCTCCCACCAGGTACGATAAAGGTATGCTATTATCCAGAGCAGAAGAACACAAGACATAATCTATCAGCTTGATGTATGACTTCGAGTATTAATTGACTATAGAACACACGTTCAGAGGGATTTGACTAGATTCACAAGTCGGACATTCTTTGTTGATCACACTGTTACGTGCAAGTTTGGTCCAATAACCTAAGTAACAAACGAAGTAAGATCAAGTTAATAAACTTCAGATCAAGTATTGTTCAAACTGAGGTGGCACATTATCTGGTAGGGATTCATTCGACTGGAAGAAATGTGATATCAAGATTCTAGGAAGTGAGATTGATTTACTTACTGTGTACAATCTTGAGCCATCCTCGAATAGATGGATCAGGAACTCTTGAAAAAAACGGAAGGTCTGGTTTAAAATCGGTAATGTTTGCTGGACTCAAGTCTTGACCTGAAATTAAGGAATTTCAATTAAACAAAAAATCTCATCAGTATCTTATCTGGGACCCCCAGCTCTTCATACATTTGAGTATCTTCAAAGACTGCATTGGTAGAAGTCCTTTTGAGAGTGAAGTTGATCTTTATCTTAATGAATGTAAAATGTCAACAAACCTTCAGCGCTAAAATGATTAGTGACCCATTCAAAAAGAGCAGTCTATCAAAAAAAGGTCATAAAAAACAAAACAAAAAAGGTACGATATATAAATTAGATTTTTCCCGAATTCAAAATATTAAAAGATAAAGTTAAAAAAAAGAAATCCTAAGATTACTTTTGTAAAATTCCCACGATCTTGAGTTAAATTTTCAAAAGATTTCAATAATTCATCAACCGGAAATCTTGATGGTCGATCAACAAACGTTTTATCATCTGGAAAGATTTTAGATAATTGTACAGTTTGAAGGATTTGATTATGACCCGGACAAAAGATTAAGTTGGGACAAGTAGGTTGAATAGGTGGTAAAGGTAAATCCAAAAGGTCGGCTATATTCACGTTAGATGGATGTGATTGATTGTTAGCTCCAAAGACGACCGCAGGTGGTTGTGAACATAGTAAGGCGAAAGTAGTTCCCAAGAAAAATGGGTTGCTTGAATGATGGTAAATCATGGCTGGCCGTGAACAGACAGCTTGACGAGTGAGGATGCAAACACAAACGAAGAAGCCAAGAAGTGAAGCGAGGTAAAAGTTGAAGATAGATGAACAGATTGGCTTTGATTCGGTAAGAGTGGCACTTGAAACGCAAGTCATCCAAGCTTGGTAAAACTTTTGAGACTTGAGTGACTCTTGACTGCCAAAATGATTCTTGAGAGTGAGATGAAAAAGTTTAGGAAGATAAGGGAAGATTCGGGACAAGACTATCACTGTACCCTAAGTTGACAGAAAAACAACAGCAGTAAATTTGATGTGATGGTTTGATAAAGGCAGTGCGAGATGGGGATGGTTTGAAACTCATCCGAGATGAAGAGGCTATATGAGTATGATACCCTATGGATTACACCTTCTCAAACTGTTCGACTTCGACTTCAACTTCAAGCTTTCCGGCAAATCCGAAAGCGAACTCTACAAAATCAAAAAATCATATCATAAGTCTCACTGTCAGGTAATAATGGCAAGCTTCACATGAACTACCTAACAGATCCAGTCAAGTTCAAACTCGATTGGACTCGTTCTGCCTCTTCAACTCATCCGTCACCAATCACATGTTGATCGCAGCCTGTCGCAGCCCTGTAACCTCTAAGGGTGACAATGACATCTTGGTCCACTTGATCTTTGCGTCTCTGAAGTCTGCGTACGTCTCACATCCTCTCGATCCCTCACGTGTCAATTCGATCGGGCTGAAGCTCAGCTGATCAGATCTTATCCTGACGGATAGAGGTGAACGGTGACGCAGTGCTTCTAATGGTGTAATCGTATCGTGGTGAATTGCGGCACATGATTGGTGTCTAATCAACCAGTACTTTGAGGTATAGAAATACGTAAGTAGAAGTCGTGTTATCGATATACAAGATCTTGACTGTCAAGCAAGGACTTTTCCTGAAAACCAAATCTCGCGTTTCCTTTTTTGAATTCTAAGAGAGAGAGGTGTCTATAAAGATATTTTGTTATTGACCATCAACCTCCAAACGACAGAGAAACAGCTCGCAACACGAATGTACCAAAGAAACTCAATTGCGATATGCAAAGTACAGAATGATATCCACACCTTGAAGATTTCTGAAGACAAAGAAGAGGATAAAATTGAAACTAAAAATTCAACAATCGGATTTGTTCTTTGTAACAAATAGAATTATGCCAAGATAGTTTTCTTGGACATATAAATGAAAGGAAAAGTTTACATAGTTTATACAAATTGATAAATGGTCATAGGATCAACTCGAGTGGAAATCCATGAGTTCCATATTCCAAAATTCAGATGATTGGATAACCCTTCACCTTGCTTGAAAGGCTATAATTCAGACACGTGGTTTTTGGTTTGCCTTCAAGCATCATTATCATTATGCATTTTGATATCTCAATGCACCAGTGAAGAGTTTTGGGACATCTATTTTTGCTCTTTGCCACCCCCAAACCCAATCACATCACTTCTTGAGTATACTGAGATAACTTAAGACTGATCAACAAATAAAAATTCCCGATAGGGGATATTTCCCAAGCCTCATCTCCTTTGTTCTTGCTATAATTAAGCTAGTAACAAAGCCTTTGAGGGCCCGGCGACCGCGCTGATGAGAGGCTTTGTTAAGCTTAAATCCTTGTAAGGTGGAACTTCAAGAGTTTTGATTTTCCCTTGATAGAGATTACCCGTTGATGGTATTACATACCCGAATCCGACCCGACCGATGAGTGTAAGTTGAGCTTTAATGGTCATTGAGATTCGACTCAGTTCAAGTTCCAACAAGAGAAACAGCCAACGAACTACTAACCAAATCAAAAAACCAACAAGAAAAATGGCCAACAGAAGTAGAAGAGTCATGAAAGAAATTCAAGATTGTCAAAAAGATATTGGTGTTTCTCATATCGATATCGAAGTGAGTGAGATCGTCTTTTCATTTCGGACTCAATCCTCTTAATCAATCATCAGGTTCAACAAACTAATCTTGAATTTGAATTGCTTCTTGGTTCAATCTTCTTTCATCGAATGATTTTTAGCCTGTTGGATCAGATATGTCAAAGTTGAGAGGTAAATTTCCAGGTCCACCTAATAGTCCATACGAAGGTGGAATTTTCGAAGGTAAATCAAAACAAACTTGTCAAAAGATTATCAAAAAATTTCTTACTTATTATCATTTCTTTTGGATTTAGTTTCGATTGATATTCCAGATAGATATCCATTCGAACCACTCAAGGTAAACTCCACAACAAAAAACAACTCATCAATAACCAAAACATACGCTCACACATTACTTCTTTCCGATTTGAAAATCACGAAATGATTTAAACATCTAGATGAAGTTTATAACCAAAGTGTATCACCCGAATGTTTCATCACAATCAGGAGCGATTTGTTTAGATATTTTAAAAGATGCTTGGTCGCCTGTCTTGACTTTAAAGACTACACTTGTTAGTTTACAAAGTTTACTTTGTAGTCCTGAACCTAATGATCCTCAAGATGCTGAAGTAAGTAACCAGTTCCGATCTTTTCGATTACTTCTCAACTTTCAACGCTATGTGTTCCATGAATCAATTTATATTGATGTTGGAATATAAATTTGAATTTTTGATTTTAGGTTGCTAAAGTGTATTTAACTGATCGAGCAACTTTTGAACGTACTGCAAGATACTGGACAGAAGTAAGCTTTGTTTCATTCAAACCGATCTCACAATACCAAACAACTGATAATCCGATTTTGCTTTTTTTTTTGAAAACCTCAAGACCTATGCAAAAGGTACCAAACCATCAAGTTCAAGTTCGAGTTCAACCAAACCTTCCACTCAATCCACTCCAACCAACCCAACCAAACCTACCTCAACTACCACAAATTCAAATAATATAGATGAAATTGCCTTAGCCGGATTAAATCCAGCTTATGTACAACAATTCGAAACCATGGGATTCCAACGTCATCAGATTATAGAAGTGATGAAAAAATTAAATTATCGTGGTAAGAATGTAAGTTTATTAGGTGAAGATGCTGTGATTGAAGCTTTACTTTCTGCTTGAGTGGTTTGATGGAAAACCTGTAAAGTGTTTTTGTTTTTCATTATTTTGTTATAACATTATTTTTTATTCTCATTTTGATTTATTTTTTTAAAGTTCATCTTTTTTGTTTTCTTTGAATCTTTATTAGTCTTGTTGATCATTTTTTTTCTTAGTATTTTATTATTTTAAACCATTTTGTTCTTTTCATTTGTAATCTTCATTTTAACTTCCATTATTTTTTATCAATACAAAGATCATCTAAATATTTTAAATTCCAATCAGAGAGAAATGAACATAAAAAACAATTGATAATGATTTTTTTAGTAAGCGAAGAAGGGGGGTTTCTAACTTCTGGTTCAATTTGAGTATCAAGACTTGAGACAATTCAATACGAATTCATCAGATGAACTTCTTTCACAGCATCAAGAGACTAAAGCAAAAATCATAACTGACTTACTTGATTTCTTAAGGTGGACAAGCAGAACCTCTTACCACACATTTGTTGGTTACAGGGCACCAAAATAGAATACCATAACAATCATTAGCTTCTTCTATTCTCATACCAACCTGGTGTAGGTAAATCAATAAGTTTCAGTATATATAGTCTTTTTGAAAAGAGAAGTTTCTTTTTGAGTTCAAAATAACGTACACTTTTTTCATTAGCAGTCACAGATGCGCTTGACGAAAAAGTTACCCAACAGGATAATAAGAAGAGTGAAATTATTTGAAGTTTCATTGTATTTAAAACTAGAGAAATACGTAATATCATGAATCTTTATGGAACTTGATTCAAAAGATAAAGAAAAAACCCTTACAAATTGATCTTTGAGCTATAATTCGAGGAATCATTCAACAAGATGTATAAAACGTTTTGAAGAAGTTTAAAGGAAGTTATACAAGCTGATCTAAAAAGTTGGTGGTTATATAGTTTTAGGAAAGAAACTCAACACGTGAGGAAATGAAAATTCTTCTTAAACTTGTTATGCTTGATTAGCTTATTATATTTTCATGATTTATTAAAGTATATCATTTCATTGGGAATTCGGAATCTGATTGGAATTTGGAATAGACAAGATACGGGATTCGGATTGATCATCAGTTCATGTTTGTTTTTGTACTTTGGGTTTGGTGTGAAGGGTATCTTCGCAAGAGTGTTGTCTTGAAGAACGTTTTGAGAAATAAAATTGTTAGATTAAGCTTAATTAGCCAAAAAAACAAGAATTCATCAGAGCAGAGGAGGAAATGTAAAGTGAGACATTCTAATCTTTTATAGGATTCTGAACTTGTACAACAGCCATTCTTTATCATCGAATGGAATAAAGTAACATCTCATGGATAGATGGTCATTTTTATGAACGTTGCTCCAATGATCTCGAATCTGAAGGAATGAAACATCAAGTGAGAGTGTTGAAACTGGTCAGTAGGTCGTATGACTTGAATGTGAGATCACTTGACACAGACTCCAGAGAGGATGATTATTATAAAGTATGGTTGGACTTTCTGATCATCTGATTTAAGCGTTCATTTGATCAGTCGAGGTAAACCAAGGCTTTTGTATGGGTAACATGGAACACAAACACATTCAAAAAGAAATATTTGTTGGTGACGTGGGGAAACTGAATGACCTTGAAATCCTGGATAAGCTATCCATTTCCAAGAAGACTACTCAAAGGTATGTTCTTCTAGTTTTGAATAGAAGGGATGACTTAATTTCGTCGTCACTTAGCATATATCCAGACAAACATAAGACCAGAGTTATCTTAACAGTGGCATTTTCCAGCCAACAAAAAGAGGTCTGGTGGCAGGGATTTCAGAAGCAACGGACAACTGTCTCTCACCAGTGATGACTGAAGCACAAGGGATTTGTAAAAAAACTGTGGTATCCTGACATGAACATGTTGGTAGCTTCATGTAGAACGCACTTTCTTTTTGCACTACTTCCCATTTTATTGAATGGTTCAAGGCGTCCAATAAACCAAGTAGATTTCTTAACAAACAGGTTTCAAGATTAGAAAAAAAATCAATTTGACAAGATGATTCAAAGAAACACGATGATCAATTCCACAGATCTCTTTAAAATCACAAAATACTCTTACATGTAACCCAAATAGAGAAGTCAGGTTAATATTTTAAATTCAATGAGTTTATATATATATATTTAATCTTCATCACTATCATAATCAGCTAAACCAACTAAACCTTTTGAAGTTAAAGAAGGATTTTGAGAAGAAAGAGTTGAAACTAATGATTTTTGTTTCGAAAGAGCTTTTAAACTTTCTAGAGCTTCACTTGATAATAAACTATTAGAGAGTGGTAAATTACCAACAGACAGATTTGGTGTTGGAATATGGTGATGAGTGATTGGTTCTGGTACCGGTTCAGGTTCAGGTTCAGGTTCAATTCTGGCTCGTTTAGGTTGACGTTGATCGTTTGATTCTTCGTGATCGTTATCAGAGGAATGTCCTAAACTTTCTAATTGATCTAAAGCTTTAACTGCTTGAACTAATTCAGGATTCAGTTTACCTGCAATGGCTTCTTCACCTAATTTAATCAATCTAGAATGTTCTCCTCTCTTTGCACTAGGATTCGGATCTTCTGTTGCCCATCTATTTAAATCCAAATCAAATTTATCATTAGTAAAGATATACTGAAAAGTTGGTTGAAGACTTGAGAATTGATGATTTACCTGACATTCAAGACTTCTTCGTCTACTAAACTTTGACACATCATGGCTTCTTTTGCAAATTGTGCACTTAATTCAGATACATAAGTCACAAAAGCTACACCACGTCCATGAAGTACTCGAACTAATGACAAACAAGAAGAAAAAAAATATCAACTTGAATGAATCAACCAAAACTCCTATGTTAAGAAAATTCAAAATAAGATAAATTGGGAGGTTTCGATGGTTTACACACTTCTTTCAATTTCACCCCATTCTTGAAAATGTTTTTCAACTAATTCTTCAGGTTCTCTAACTTCTTTCATCCTACCGATATATAATGTACGATTCTGTCTTCCGAATGAACCTACACCACCCATATCATCACGATAATCTGAATGTTTTTCACGACCAAAGACGTCTAATGAAGCATCAGGTAAAACAGATTGAGGTGGTGGTAATCTATGTAAATATGAACATTCCCAACTAGACCATCAAGAGCGATCGGGATACAAAGTTGATCATAGAAAAAGCTTAGTTCTTTCGGATCTTAAATCTTGATTTGATTTGTAAATTGATGATAAAAAAACAAAGATCCCAAACTTACCCATAAGGACAACAACCTCTTGCGAAATATAAACAACAATAAGCATTATTACCTCCATCTGCTCTTGTATAACCTGCATCTGTACTGATTTTACATCTCGTCTTTGATTTTTCTTTTTGACTATAGGAATCATATTTATCTCCACCTGCCCATTTATTATACCCTAAACTCGTTCAAAAGAAATCAATTATTGTTGGTAAGATGATTTCTTGAATAAGAAATGAGAAGATGTAAGAGGTCAACTTACAAACATTATACGTTTGACCACTTTGTTCTGGTTGTTTTTTAAATGAACCTGCTTCTTCCAAGGTCACCTAAGAAAAAGAACGAATCAATCATAAATTTATATCTTAAGGAATCAATTTTCAAAAGATAATCGAATTAAGATGGTTGTTTTTCAAAAAGAAGACTAAACTTGTTTACGTGCACGTCTTCTTTTGACTTTCTTTCTCAATGGATTATTTTCTGGAATTGAATTTGTTTGAACGTTTTCCGATTCTTGAGTTTCATTTTCTATATCTTGGGTCTGATTTTTTGATTGTTTTGATTTGTTTGATGAATTCATGATGATGAAGTTGTGGAGGAGAATCGACTTGGTTGAGTTCTATGGTTTGATCGGTTGGAACTTGGATTTTGAACAAGTCACAATACCAATCGACCGGTCCGGATAGCTAGATCACTTCTCATTCGGCTCGGATAGTCCCGTACACATCACGATATGGATACCCGGATAGTGCCTCTGCAGTCGTATTTGATGACAACCCTACACCAAAGGCACGACGTGTCGGGTATCTTCCATGGAGTGAAAGAGGGGGTGTGAAAGGGAGGCTCGACATGTCACAGAAACCGTGACAGAGACGGCAAGAATACTTGGAGAATACAGGGAATCAACGCAGAGATTTTACCACTGCAATCTCTGCGCTTTCCCCTGTTTTCTCACCACCGTCTCTCGCAGCCTCCTTTCCCAATCTCCGCTAAACCTTAGCCGGAGAAAATCTTTTTCAAATTCTCACGAATATCCCACACCAAGGTCACCCGTTAGGAAGAACTCGAATTATTATTTCTCTGAATAATCAATTATCTAAGACCAATTAAAAAAAAAAAAAAAACCAACGACAACACAGAAGTTTAAAAGAATCAAGATGGATAGTGAAGAATTCCAGCAGAAAATTGACGAACAAATCAGAAATCAAAGAGATGAAGGAGGAAAAGCAGAAGGAGAGACGTCAGATCCCAAGGGAAAACTCACAGAGAAGGCACCAGAAGAGACGACTCAAATGACGACTTCAAAGAGGCAGACTAGAGGAGCAACCAAGCAGACGAGTAGCGGCCAGAGTGGAGGCGACGCTTCGAATACAGGTAAAGCAAAAACCCTTAAAATCAAGATACCTAAACCCCCTCCGGCACCTCAAGGAAACGCACTTTCAGAACAGAATCCGAGTCAGACGGAAATGGGTCCCCCTGGAGGAAGCCAGCTGCAACCCCCGACCGGTAGCCAGATATCCCAGCAACTGGATAATCGCCAGGGAACAGGCGACGAGAACCAGACCCCGAAGAACGCCAACGGTCATCGAGGGGGGAATGAGAATCATCCGGCGGGAGACGCAGATGGAGACCTGGATCGGATCCAAGAGCGACATCGGAACCCGGATCACGAGAGGGAACGACAAGGCCATCAAACCGGAGACGCTGCCCGGAGAGAGGTCCAACAGAACCATGCTCACCATGGGAGGGTAGTCCGAGGCATAGTACTACAGGACCTAGATACAGGTAAGCCCCAATCAACAAGAAAGGAATGGCAGGGTGTCAACGTACGCAGAGAGCTTCCTAAAGGAAATGCCCCCAAAGGGGATGCTGTTCTTCCTGCGGGAAATGCCTCCTATTGGAGAAGTATCCCCATTAGGGGATAGAGGCCAATCCTTCTCCTTCCTGCGGGAAATGCTCCCAAAAAAGGGAATGACTTAAGGCCAATGGCTGACTAGAGTTCGCTACTGTACCCTTTGCTTGATGATCTGAAAAACAGATTCGGAAGAAGGCGACCAAGACCTAGCCAGACGAGAACCTGCGGTAGAGCCTCCCGCGCCTGTAGACACGGTGCTAAACAACCTTGACCGAGAGATCAAAGAAGCGTTTGGGAAAGACCGGGCAGAGTATGATCGGCTGTCGAAGCAGAGAGAGAACTGGTTGAATTTCACAAGTGGGAAGATCCTAGTCTCAGAATCTGCGACAACCGTGAGGAAAACCTCTGAGAAAGACGAACCAGTGGCGAAGAAACAGATCAAGGTTCAAAAAGGAAGAGAGCTAGATGGCTCAGTGGTGGCACTGTCCAAATACTGGGACACGATCATGACAGAGCTGGGTCGATATGTTCCCCTATCCATATTCGACCCCCTCTGGCTGAGGCAAGACATGAGTCACACGTCGAACAAGACCTCTTGGGCAAAGATCAAAGACGCCGATGCTATCACGTACAACGGAAACCCAATTCCGAGTGAGTGGCGTACCCCAGCGGCCCAGTGGCATAGGCAAAAGGAAATGTTCCTGGCCTATTTGATCCAATACGACCACCCCGAAGTCCACGAGTCGATGGAACGTCATTTCAAGAACGTCCTCGAAATCCAAAAGGAGAATGACGGTTGCTGGATGACTGCGTTTCGATACGACATAGAGATGCGTCAGACATATATGTCGATGAAAGTCGGTGAAGACATGGCAGATGTTAGTACGGAGTACCTATAAAAGGGAAGAAACGCACATAACTGACTGACATGATAACACCAATCCCCCTCCCTTTTTCTCTTGCTTTTTAATGCTCCCGGACAGATTGGAACCAGAAACTCCAGAATCGAGAGAAGAGCGGAGAGAATAACTTCTCAAAGGGGCGATGATGCCTTCTTAGACAACCCGTACGCCTTCACGGGGAAGAAGAAGAACATCGACCCGATCAATGGTTCAAACTGGGAGGGAAGGAAGGGGACCTGGGACGAACCTACCAAGGTGGATGTCAAGGAAGACCGAAAAGATGCCAGAGGTAGTCAGTCCGCGCGCTCGACTCTGTGGGCAACAAACAATTACGAGTCTCACCTCGCAGAAACCGGTATCACGACAACCCCCAACACCTACAACAACAACCCAAGCACCAGTACCTCAAACGGGCAAAACTCGGGAGGCCAACCTTTCCAAGGAGGCAGGAACCAAAACAGAAGACCCCAGGCCAATTTCAATCGGGGAGGCCGAGGAAGATGGAGGGGTGCCAATGACAATGGCAGTAACGGAGGTTACGGGAACCCTCCCGGTGCATCCTACCCGAATGCGATAGCGAGCGGAAGCAGGTGGCAGAATCAGGCCCCTAGGGCGGGAGGTGAAAAGACCTCAAGCGCGGCAGGAGGAAACGTGGCCGAGAAGTGAGTAGACAAGGCAAGGGGTCGTCCCCCGCCTCCAAAAATTTCTGTCTTCCCCTACGTCCCCAACTACAACACGTTGTACCATGCTGCCACGTTCAGAACTGCTCTCAGTGTTGATAAATGCCATATGACGGAGAAATAAAACAACACGTACAAGCAGTCAATTTCATATAGAGAGAAAAGAGCCATCGTGAGATGATGTTGGCGCAAGATACTGACGAGTCTCTAACCACCACATTTGTACCTTGCCTGGATGAACTAGCCGCACAGTGCCGAGTGAATCAAAACGCATGAGTGAGGAAATCAGTAGACCCGTAGAGAGAACGGTGGTCAACGCACCTATAGAACCGAGATGATTGTGGCCACAACAGGCACAATGTGAGCTAGATATAGAGCGATGGGAAGTACTTATGGAGAAGCATGACTTACTAAAGGACTGGAGCGACGTCCTGGAAAGCTTGAAGAAGGGGTTCAACCAAGGAATCCCATCCCACCGGATACCCGGATACCCTAAATGGTATACACCGACGAACCAAGACTCAGCAATCTTGGTACAGGACAAGATAGAGAAGACCTTCGCACGGGAGTTACGAGAGGGAAAGATCTTCGGACCCTTCACCCACGAACAGGTACACCAACAGTTCGGTTTCTTCAGGTCGAGCCCCATGGGCAGCGTCGTGAACAACAACGGCAGCTTCAGAATGATCAATAATCTCTCTTTCCCAAAAAATGAACCAGAAATCCCGTCCGTTAACTCCTTCGTCGATAAGAGCGACTACAAAACAACCTGGGATGATTTTGAGACAGTGGCGGTATTCTTACGAAGCAACGGGAGGAGATGGGAATTCGCCATCTTCGATTGGGAAAAAGCCTATTGGCAGATCCCAACCGATCCATTGCAATGGCGATTTCTTACCCTACTAGATTTCAACAACAGAGTGTGGGTAGATACACGGGTGGGTTTTGGTGGAGTAGCTGGCTGTGGAACCTTCGGCCGTGCAGCGGATGTATGGAAGGAGATAGTAAAGAGAGAATTAAACATCCCACGAATCTTCAGGTGGGTGGACGACAATCTGATATTGAGGGAGAAAGGGTCAGGAATCAGCATGCAATCAGTCCTGGATCTCAGCAAAGAAATGGGAGTACGTACAAACCACTCAAAGTTTGCGGACTTCGCTGATGAGCAGAAGTATCTCGGGTTCATATGGAACGGCGTCGAAAAGATGGTTCGGTTACCAGAGGAGAAACTCCAGATGAGGATAGCGCAGATAGAATCACTTCTAGCGGGAGAAAAGTGGAACCTAGAAATGATCGATAGCTTTGTAGGACAGTTGGGACACATCCTCCACATTATCCCTCACATGAAATGTTACATGCGAGAACTGTACGCTTGGAAAGAAACCTGGAAGACACGCCAAGCAGTAAGAGAAGTGACAGAAGGGGTTCGTAGGGATTTAGAAGAAGGGTTAGATGTTTTAAAGACCTTTGAACACAGACGAATCATCCCATCTCCAGCGCCTGAAGACATTCGATGGGTTGGCGACGCGTCCCCGGCGTACGGGATAGGTGTGAGGATCGGAGATCTTTGGGTGAAGTTCAGGCTGAAACAAGGATGGGAGACGGACGAGACGTGTCAGACCCCGAGGAAAATAGCCTGGATTGAAACAGTCGCCGTCCGGATAGGCCTATTAATGATAAAGAAACTGTACCCAATGAAAGGACGCTGCTTCATCGTCCTGACCGACAACACCACTACGGAGGGCGCCATAAGAAATAATCGATCCAAGGACAAATCAGTTAACAACGAGTGGAAACGTATTCAAAAGATCCTGACCTCGGAACACTGCTCCATCCAGCAGAAGCGTGTAACCTCGGGGGATAATATTGCAGACGCCCTATCAAGAGGCATAACGACAGACGTGCTCTGGCACAACGAAGTGATAATCGCCTTACCGCCAGATCTCGAACCACTGCTGCAGCAAGAATGCTAGAGACCCCCTGGAGAGAGAAGTTAAACGCCAAACCACCTAGAGAGTTGATCAATCGGATCCCACACTTTGTCAGGAACGAGAACCACGTACTGACTCCTCCCAACGACGCAGTCCAACGTTTGATGCTTTACGGAGGGAGTTGGGCCCCGGAAACCTTACTTCAATACAACTCTGGACTATCGAAACTCATGAAGTTCGCCGAATCGATCGGAGCGTCTCAAAACCAGGTACTGCCGCTCACCGAGAAATACCTGTTGTCATTCATTCAGTGGGCAGCCCCAAAGGTGGAAGGAGAGGAAAGAACGAACCAAGAGATAAAACCGTCTACTATTGAGTCCTACATAGCCGGGATGCGAGCTTGGCACCTATTTCATAACAAATCCTTCCCCATGATCGACCAACGATTGCTAAACGCTTGCCTGAAAGCTGCGAAATTGCTAGATACGAAGAGGGTTAGTAAGCCACCAAAGAATCCAGTACAAGTCTACCACCTAGCAATGCTGCTAAAGCAGATGGAACAAGAGGATCATGAGATGGAATTGGTGGTAACGGTAGCTTTGGTAGCTTTCTGGGGGATGGCTCGGCTGGGAGAGCTAGTCCCGCTGAGACCATCGAAGACCATCCTGATAGATGATGTAACTATAAAGAATGATAATAAGACGGTGTATATAGCAATCAGAGAAGCCAAAACCGCCAAACCGGGCGAAATCCAGTATATAAAACTCACCAGGCACAACTCACTCTTAGACCCGGTTAGTGCAGTGGAAAGACTGATGAACAAACACGTTGCGGAAGGATCGAAAATAAACGAACCATTCTTCACGTACGCAGATGCGGAAGGAACTCGAATCTCGATGAGGAAGCAAGGATATATGGGAGTAATGAATAAAGCTTGGAGCAAAGAGGGTATAACGGGGTTGAGCGGCCACTCATTTAGAGTCGGCGGAGCTTCGTTCTTGTGGAACCAAGGTGTACCGTTGGAGCAGATCATTAGAAGAGGTCGGTGGAAGTCTAAGGCGTATGAAAGATATTTGCGGAAGTTTGATGAGCAAACCATGCAAACCACGGAGGAATGGTTGGCGAAGACCCAGTTGAAATAAAGTTTGGTTGATACAGATATCTGAATTAAGTTTAATTAAATAACTACAGGTAGATGCTCATGTATAAGAAGATCTGCAGTGGAAACACAAACCACACACAGTTCAAAAACTTCTTTTAAGTTTAAGTGAAATTCAGCCGTTAAAGAGAGGGAACACCTCCTACAGCTTAGAAACCCGTGAGTCAGGTAAGGAAGAACACGAGAGTATAAGGAGAGGAAGATCGGGGAAAAGGGAGCCTTCAGCGAAGTGAGTAAACTCGCGCGCCCCGGAGAGAACGGGTCCTAGCGAGCTCAGAGGCTCTCCCGAGCCCCCGAGTTTGGGTAGGCTAGGACCGGTCTCTCAGGAGCTTAGAGTGTCCTACTCAGCTCCGAGACCAGGTCAATACCGGGTTTCAGATCCGGTGTGTAACCAAAGAAAGGTACACACCGAGAACCCGGTGGCGATCCTGGCCTTAGGAGGCCCCCCCCACTCTACCAACAGCTCTAGGAGACTAAGCTCGAGGTAGCGTAGGAGACCTTAAGATCCTAGAGATGACCCGGCCTAAGGACAAGCGGACACAACCCCCTCAAGAGAGATGGAAAGTAAAAAAAAAACAAGATCAACATATCTGGCACATAAATCAACATATTTTGATATTCAAGCCCCATATCCTTTCCTTTTATATGGTCAAGTTTATTCCAATGGGCTCTACAAACAAGCAAGGCACCAACATCAACCCTAACTCTGACAACGACTCCAAAACCAAACAAGCATGTCTCTCATATTCAAAAGAAAGCACCTCATGAACATTAACACTTTGATCTGAAGAAGATTCTGATCACTCAAATCCTCCCAGAAAAGTCACTCCCACTTAACCAGCACCATCAACAAAGACAAAAATCCAAGGTATCCTTGGATGGCAATAGCCTTGGATGTGATGCCTGAGTAAATGATCCAAGGCAATCTTTGGGGCCAAAGAAAGCTTCACATTAATTCCTTGGACACACAGTCCAAGGGAATCTATATCTGAGGATACCTTGGATTTTCCAATCCAAGGTATCTTTGCCAGCAGTGCAGCTCCAACCACTCCAAGTGTACTAGTCAAATCAACTCCAACACCAGGAATAAAACCTTGTGGGTGTGGAGATATTTTAAGACTGAAACCATTGTTGATATGGTAGCCAATAAAGAAGAGAAGAGGACAATTTGCACCTTTCAAGTTGAGCCTCAAAAACACTGGAAGCCATTGTTAGCCTAGATCTTCAAACAAGTAGTAGCTTGATAGAAATGAGCTGAAGTGTACTTACAAAATGTATATCTAAAGCTTATGTATTTAAAATGTTTGCTAGAGTTGTTTTTCAAAGTCTTCATAGTAATAATGATAGCAAAATTATAGCCAGTTTCTATAAGTCATTGAGGTTCAGGATTGGTACTGCCGCCGGTCACTTATCCAAAGGCTGTCCTTTAGATATTCTTCTGAATGGAATACACTTAAGTAAACTGTCTTTCAGGCTACTCTTCAGTGTTGGTTTGATAAGTCATTTTTCTGATTGACCTTTTGTAAAGAAGACATTAAATGGTGGTATGAAACATTATTCAAAGCCAGACAAAATAAAGGAGCTGTTCATGACTGTTGGTCAAATTGAATTTGCAGTGTCCAATTCTGGTAACGGTGTTTCTCACAACAACAGACTGTTCTTAGTGTTGCTTAGCGTTGGGTTTGGAGGTTTACACTGTTTAGGGGAAATCACAATTCCGGTTTCACCAAAGCTTTATGACTCAAGAAAGGTTATGCATTCATTATCATTCCAATTTTCTTCATGTTTTAAATTTATTCAATACCATATTCCGTACTCAAAGTGATTCTGGTTTAACCAGTGTACCATTCATTGTTCAACATTTCAAAAATCTATCTGCTTGTCCATGGGACTGATGGAATCATATCTTCACTCCAGAGGCCTAGTTTTTCTTTCATTCTCAAAACTGTTTGTAATTGCTGAGGGTCTTTCTCCAACTAGATCATGGTTTTTATCATGTTTTCACACCTCATTCAATAAACCATTTCCTGGGAGTTCTCTCAGGTCTGGTGGTGCTACAACTTTAGCACAATCAGGTGCTTCACTAAAATTAATTCAATTTGCTGAGCATTGGTCTTTGGAAGCATTTCGTATATATGTTTGAGGCCATGTTTCTATGAAATTACCAGCTTCTCAAAATAATTATGGATTCTTGATAAAATCTCAATTGTCCTACCTTTCAGGGAAAGAAAGAGAGTATTCATTCATTATATCTTTGGTTCTTAATAGATTATCATATCTTGGTTATTTTGGACATCAGTTCCTGAAGCTCTCTGGGGTTCCTTTCTATAAACTATTTCTTCCTCCCTTCTTCACCACTCTTCAGTGTATGTTCTTTTGATAAGTGAGTCAGAGAGGGTGATGGTTTGTTTGGATGTTTTAATTTTACAAAAGCTTTGGCCTAGCATCATTTGAGTTGGTCAGTTTGATATCTGTAAGTACCAAGTTGATATTTCCACCCAAAAATAAGGAGTCTGAGAAAGCTTGAAAGTATTGAGACCAACATGGATTTGAGAATATTGGAAAGACACTCTGGAAAAAATTATTCAGTGCCCTTGAAGGGTCACCTACCTCCTTAAGCCTTGTGGGCTTCAGAACCAGCTTCTGCACTGGTTCTCTCAACAACCATCCCTTTATGAAACAGTTAGCGTTCCAAAAGACGTTTGAGATTGATTTTATTCTTGAAATCTTTACAATCACACAAAGAAAAGGATTTTTTAGTAAGAACAACATACCATCAATTTTTTTTAGATTTTAATCAAAATCATTTTCAGGCTACAACAACAACGCATCAAAAAGAAGAAAAATAGAAAAGAACAAGTACAGGTATGTAATGGAATCAGGTTTTTTGTTGAGAGAAAGATATGTTGATAAGAGAAAGAGTGATTGATTGATTTGATGAAATGATGAATGAGCAGGACATCATAAAAAAACAGAGGTTGTTGAAGTGAATAGAAAAAGTTTGAGTGATAATTGAGAAAAATGAGTCGAGTGATTTTAAAAGGACCTGTTTCTGAGAAACTAGAGATCTGGATATAACACATAAAAAATTATTTTACATGAACCTCTGATTCAAATCTGATGAATAATGAAATGAAAAAGATGACTCACAAGAATCTTTTTCACCAAATCTTGATGTATTCTGTTGTTTATAAGAAATTTTTCATAACTTCAACAGCTCCTTCAACCCCTTTCCAAGCATCACAAGAATACCTAAAAACCAATTGCATTTGTTCATCTATATCTTGATTAGGTCCACATCTACATTTATGTGGTGGTAACCAATCTTGAATTGATTCACCTTTCTTAATATCAAAGAATTCAACAAAAAATTTAGGATTAATTAAATCAATTTCTTTTTTAAGTTGCTTAATATGTTTGATCATCAATTTGATTTCTAAATCCCAATTATCTTTTAAAATCAATTTCTTCTTTTGAAAAATCAATTGAGATTTAAGTGAAGTAAATTTGATTCGATCTATAATTTCTTGTGGTATTTTTTGATTTAAATCTTGAATAAGTTTTAAATTTGTTAAATCGATTAAAAATTTCACTTTTAATAAAACTCCAGCCACTAAACTAGAAATCAAAGGCATCGAACAAAGTTGATCAACTGATTCGAATACATCATAAGTCGAAACTTTAGGTCCCATTGATTGATGAGCAAACAATCGACTAAAAGGAGAAGAAGGATCTACTTGCATATTAATTCTACCTCTAACATAATCGTAAGCTTCTTGATCTTGTTCTAATCTGATCATTAAGAATGGTACTAAATCTCTTGTTTCAATAGTTTCAACCGGATCTAAACCAATTATACCGGTAGAAGATTTCACAATGATCATTCCATGTTCTAATGCTTCAGAAACCGAATCTTTGGTGTGAATCTTCATTAAACTATCTATAAGATTAGATCTATAGGTAATATAAGTTGAACGTAATGATAAAGGTGCAGTATTGAAGGATGGATCGTTTGGATGTTCTTGAATGGCTTCTTCTAATCTCATTCTTGATTTCTTGATCGATTTACAATCTTTTTTGTGATTCGTCCAATCTTCTCTTTGATGTGTTTCACTACAATATTGTTGAACTTTACAACCAGTGCATGATTTGAGATCTTGGTTTGAAGGACAACGAGCGCATCTTGGGTTAAGAAGTGAAGGCTTGACCATGATTTTGTGATCGACTTGTGATGAAGTCTTTGAATGAGTTTCTGAGAAGTGAATCAAATGGAGAATGTGTAGAAAGTGAAGTATTTTCAAGAGTCAGGGTCGTTCTAGTTGGTTTCGAAGGGGTTTTATGTAGTTTGCTGATTACTTTGTGTTTGGTTGGGGTGACGGTTGATTCGACGAATTTGAATTATCGAACCACTTCAACCTCACTATAACAACTCTCCCTTCGACATTTATCTAATTTGGTTTCCCTTTCCAATACCAAACACGTTAGAGCAACATCTCTCAAAGGGAAACAAGTCGTGTAGATCTATAAGCTGCAGTAGCATAGTCCACATCTCTATGTAGGTCTGGACCGTCCACGTCTTGGTGGATGTTTGAGTGGTAATCTTCAATTTAGATTGATTAAACATCTTCTTAACTCAACATTCTTTATTCTTTCTTCACATCACACTTGTAAAGAATCTGGTTTCAACAAAGGACTTGGTTTGGTTTTGGCTTGGGAAGATAGCCATGACACATAAATTGGCCCATCCATTTCTCTCGGGTACGGGTACTATTAGGACTTCTTTTATTTTAGGAACTTATCAATAATCCAATAGTTCCTTAAGTGCCCCTTTTTAGTTAGCACGATGAAAGAAACCTTTATCTCGTAAAGGACTGGTCTACCACAGTAGACGATTGTTTATCCAAATACGGCTAAACTGGCGAATACTATGTGTGGTGTGGGGGGGCCCCCCGAGGAAATATAGGGTCTAGGGTATAACCCTTGACCATTTACTCCTCAGCGGCGAGACCAGAACTCAGGAGACTCGGGCTTCTCAGCACCGGGCTGGTGGGTGGGAGTCAAAAAATTTTTAGGAGCTTAGAAGCTCTTAGAGAGTCTAATAGATTTGGTACCGAGAAGTAGCGGATAGAGAGAAAGCGGAGATGTGGAGTGAGAGACTAGGGAAATAGCGAGTGGTACACCAGGGGGTAAACCTACGGCAAGAAAACGGTTTTCGAACCCGTTTTCCTGCCGTCACGGTTTTAAACTATTTGCGTCGTTTCTGAGACGATTTCAGATGGGACCGCACAAACACGGTTCCCATCACTGTTTTTGGCGGTGCAAGCAAACCGCCTCGGTGACCCCTGAACACAGTCCCTGGAACGAGGCCTGGAACGTTCTGGAACGTTCCTGGAACGTTCTGAGGGTACGGCGTAGAATTTGCAAAAAGGGAGACTTGGACACAGGCTCAAAACCAATGAGCGCAGAGCATCCCCGAGCCTTCCACCTCTGCACCATAGGGACCACACTGCCAGATCCCCTTGTGTCGAATCAATATGATTTCAAATTGTCAACCAATTCATAAAACTTAGATTCAAAAAAACAAGAAAGGTGAAAGGGGTAGGAATTGGATGAGGACTTTAAAAAATGGGGAATAGAAATTGAGTAATTGGTAAACCAAATCAGAATTTTTAGAGAGAAAGATAAGGAATCTTTTTTGGGGGAAAGTAAAGGTAGGATGAGGTACACAAAACAAGGATTCGATCCTGAGTTTGATAACCGAGTTTGATCAGTCAACGAAGTAGGTAATTGTATAACTCACACGAAAAATGTTTTCTTATGTGAAGAACAAAACTTGAAGATTGAAGAAATCAATATGAGCAAGGACAACATGTTTTTGGTTTGTTTTTGAAAGAAGTTCATATACCAACATCTTAGTATTAAAAGGATACAAGATCAAGCGGATCACAACACAAGTACAATTATAAAATCTGAGTATGTAGATGTTTTTGCACGTGCTGCTTGTGAAGGACAATGCCTTTTTAAAGGTAGTGCTTTGTTCAACACATGGTGATTCAGATTGATTGTGACCTTATCGGTGGCACAATCAATCAGTGTGAGTTGAGGTGAGTTGTCTTTTTGAAACATAACTTTCATCCGTGACCGTTTTCATACGGTCACTGTTCATATATTGACAGTTCTTGAACAAACCGCTTCACCACCGCCTCAGCAGCCGTTCTCAAACGGTTGCTGACATGCAGCTCGTTCAAGAAGCGGTGGTGGAATGGTGTCCGAAACGGTTTCGGCGAAACCGGTTCCACACCTTCCTGGGCGGTTCTTGTGACGAAACCTTTGAAATCGTCACAGGAACCGGCCGAGGCCGAGGACCATTACCCCCTGGTGTACTCGAACGGTAAAGAAGTGAAAATCTTTCCGTGTCTATTTCCCAGTTCCCTCAACGTGTCCCACACTCCTGTATGTTCTCAAACCTAACCGGGTGTGTAACATGTTACATTACACAAATCCTGCTACTTATCCTTCCCCTGAGAAATGGACTTCTGAGTACCGTCTCAGGCTTTGGGAACACATGCAATAAGCTGGATTGATGAGATCTGCCCCACAAAAGAAAAGAGAAAGAATCCTGAGTTACATACATATCCCGAGACCCGAACGGTGGCTTTTCTTACATTTCACCGTGCGCAAGAGGGGACAGCGAGCACATTTTTTCTTCTTTCATGGCACTACTGATGATAACTGAAACATTCGAGCAAGGTTCTATGAAAATGTTTGATCTCATCATAGAATGGGAAGTCGGCAAAAGAAAGCACAAATATCACTTCGCCCTTGACCCTCAACCTTTCAAGATCTTGGGAAGGGTGTCAAAACCTTTACATCAACAACCTCTGTTCTATATCTCTTCAATTTTCAACCAATCAGAACTTTTTCCCTTTTATGATGACCACTTGACAGATCTTGATCAAAAATTGACAAACAGAGAGATTTCCTCTTGAGAATTTGTATGGAAAACAAACCAGATTGGTCCCACAAGATATACAAAGAGAGCCATCAATCTCATAATCTTGGCACCACTCCGGATTCCTCAAGATGTCAAGTACAGTGTATTGAAGGAGGGGTAGTCATTTGAGCCTTTTTTGTCAACTTCCCAGCCTTTGATGACATCCAACATAGACAACAAGAGATATCCTGAAATTTAATGTCAGGAACATTGTCATGATACCCTGGAAATTGAAATGCTCCTACTGGTAGGCCTGTCAAACAACAAAGCAATTTTGGCAAAGAACAATGTCAAGGTACTTGTTGAAAACCTATAACTGTGGAAAAATTGATGTTCTACCAAGAACATGACAAATTGTGAAGATTTGCAGACTTTGCATATTCAGGTTGAACTTGTAAGTCTAGTCTATGGTTCAAGTCATCAAGTGGGTCAAACATTGTTGGATTTGAGGACATCTGTTCTTCATTACCCCAAGACCATTTAAAATACACACATCTGCCTCCATTCATCTAAATGTTGTCTGCAGGAAAAGGGGAAAAGAATTGACCTCAAATATGACGCTCAGCCAAGGCACATTCCTTTGCAGCTCCTTTGGAAGGTAGATTTGTCACTCTTGAGGCTCATCCTTATTCAATATGAAAGGCCTTCATAATTCACAGGATCATTCAAGGCTCTCAGTAGGTAATAGATCTCAGAACATTGTGGTGTTAGTAATCACAAGATCTCAGATGCTATCTGTACGACCTCCCATTTTTTGAAAAGAAAAACATATAAGTAAAAATGGCTCCAACAAGGCCCAAAATGCAGGTACAAGGAGAACCATCAGTCTCTCAAGTCATCACATCCAAACTCAATTCATGAAGTATCATGAACTTTTTTTTTCAATGATGAAAATGGATTTCAATTCAGTAGCTTTGGGAGTTGGAGAACTTGACCACAAGTATAACTATTTGCTAAAAACACTATAGTACTAGTACACCTGTGGCAAAAAGAAATCTCATAAACTTAAAGTGTCCTTAACATACCTCATTCTAAGAATTCTTACAACATTCAAGCACCAATCATTATATTCTGAGGGTGCTTTAAGATACAAATCAAATGGGAAGGTAAATCTCATCAAAGACCGGATATCATATTTGGAAACATTGGATTTGTTATCAATACTTAGGGCACATTCACTTAAAGAACTTCTGACCAGAAATCACATTCTGTAAATTTCTTAATGCAAAAATGAAACATGCACAACCAAATAGACACTTTAAATTTTGCAGAATGTGATTTCTCACCAGAAATTGCTTAAGTGAACACACCCTTACTGACCATTCAATTCTGGCCCATGATGCACTAAGACACAACAGTATCATCAGGCATTTATGGCACACTGAAACTAGGTGAGCCAGCTGGGTGGAGCCATACTGTGGTGTGCCATACATCAGTCTGAGTGTTGAAGTAACTTGATTGAATCCCTACTTAAGACAAATTAATGAGGGACTTTTCACTGATGCAACACTCTTTGCACAATACAAACCCTTTCCATCCTTTGTTCTCTTGAACTTGAAGCAATTTGATAACTCCTTTATTGGTTGGTATACACTCTGACACACAGTAATGTTGTACACCAATGATCTGGTGAGCTTGTCTGATTGTGTATGCAAAAACTTAAGAGAGTCTATCTGCTCCTGAGAAAGCCTTGAAGGATTTCTGAGTTAATAAAAAGCTGTTCAGAAACCAAAAGAAAACAAAGAAATCAATCAGATTTCTTTCATTTTGATTCTTAATATCATTTAGATTACGGCTACTAAACATATAAAAGGCATAAATATACAAATTTGTGTTGCACTGAGATTTAATACAAAAGTATAAAACCTGTTAAATCCAATCAAAAGTGACAGGTCTCCCACAAGACATTGTTGAATTGTGTCCAAAACCAGGTTTAATCTAGTTTTGGGCTCTCAGATTTTACTTCGGGTGCATCACACAGACAAAGAATTCTGCCGTTTAATCCTTTAATGGCTGTATATTCTTTCATAAGCTGATGATCACTTTGGCAAAAAACCAAAGCTATTGTATGTCTTTGAAAAAGCATTTAAACTTGACAAGTACATTTTATTCAATGATTGTCAATGTAAGAGAATTTGCCATGAAGAGGTGAAAAGAAGACAAAAAAAGCATTGATTTTGAAAAATGAGGTGGAACTTATAAACAAATGTATAGATGTAAATAGTTGACCAAAAACATCAATGAAGACAGATACTTCAATTTTCAATGAGAAAAAAACAGATGGGATTTCATAGAACATCTTACTCAGAAAAGACATTTTAAAAGAATATAAATAATGCTAAGATGTACAAAAAGTCAAAAGAACTCTGCTTTTGTTTTGCAAAACAAAAAGATGAAAGGAAAAAATCTTATATACACTAGATACATTCAAGTTGATCTGGATTGATTGATTTTAAAAGGTCAGAAGGAGATTGATGAAATTGATTTGAAGTTTTAATACTTCTAATGATGGTGATTGTATCAGAAGAAACTTGTTGATCATTTGAAAGGTTTTCATTTTCATTTGATAAACTTAATTCAGATTGTGTTTTGATGACTACACTTGGCTTTGTAAAGAAGAAGCAAAAAGAATGTTAAAATAAAATCAGTTGAAAAGTTGATGTTTTCATGAAGGTTTTAAAAGACCTACACTTGCTTTAAGTTTGATGGTTATATCACTTTTGAGCATTTCATCGAAAGATGTGTTGGAATTCAATTCATCAAGTTCAAGTTTCCATTTAGCATGATCTTCTAAGCTTTCTTGATGATGATGAAGATGAGCTTGTTGTGGTTGTTGTTGATTTGATTTTTTATCTAAAAATTTAGTATAATTTATCAATTGATTTAACATCCAACACATCATTTGCTTTGGATGGTTCTAAATCGGTTTATCCTTCTTTTACAAGCTCACTTCCAATCGATCGATTTAATTTTCTTGGATTTCGTTCAATTTTCTTTTCGATGATGAACTTTGAAGAACCGATCAGATCTTTCAATCATCTTTCCTTCTCGTCATCTGGATTCTGCTTCTTGTTTCTCTCTCTTCCTCTCCCCAATTGATTGATGATATCCTTTTAGGTTGAATCTTATCTTTTCATTCAAAATCATCACATTTTCAATTTTCTGGTTTTCTTTTTTTTCCTTCTTCTTCTTTTTAATTGAACTTCATTTCAAGTTTCTTATTTCTTGAATGAAGATCGATATCAGATCTAGAGATTTAGATCTCAAATCCCTTGACACTTTTAAGTAAGTTTAAATTTCCTTTACAAACCACCCTCACCTTTGATTTACACGCGTAAAAGTTTTGAGTTTCATTCAAATTTCTCACATTTTCTTTAACCCTTTTACACACCAATCTATATATTTAATTTTTACTTTTGCTCTTCTCTCACATATTTTATTATATCAGAAGAATACTCTTACTACGATCAATTCTGAAGTGATACGAAACTTCAAGATCGAAAGAAAAAGAAAGAACCGATCGGGAAGTGACGATTGGATTTTCAAAAGAGAACCGATCGATTATCGCCATCAAAAAAAGTTCAAGATCGACTGTTTTTTTTTATCTTTTTTGCACACAAAGAAGCCCCTTCAATTGACTTCTCCCTATTGAAACAAATCAAGAACTCCACATTACATTTCTTTAAAGATAAATCAACATGACACGTAGAAAATTAAACCCTCCAACTTCTTTGAATTTAACAAAAACAATCAATTCAAATTATGATCAACTTCATTTTCATTTAGATAAATTTCCTTTACCCATCTTACCTCCTTTGATTTATCTTTATCAACCTTCATATTTAAAATTTAAAGATTCGAAATTACTTATCAAACATTTACCTAACCTTTAAAACAGAATCCTGGTCTGAGTTTTGACTTCCTTGGGTTTTATTGATGGAGGTGAAAAAGATATCTTGAGGTTATCGAGGCTTGGTTGTTTTTATCTTTTAGTTCAGTTTCTTAACTCGTGTTATTTGAATTTGTTCTTCTTAATCTTAGTCATGATGATTTCTTTGGTATACATATTGTAAAATCTCTTTTTTATTGATATCTTTCTTGTTTACTTGATTCCAGATGTATTCCTTGTGTCTTTCTTCTCTTTATTTTCAATAAATAAAGTCTTTCATCAACTCAGAGTTACAATTTATCTTCCTGGGCTCTACATAAATCAACCTTCACTCTATGTGTAAATGTAGTTGAAGAAGCCATTTTGCTTGTAAAAGAATTTCTTTTCCCCAAAAATCAGTTCACAGCGCTGTTTTGTAAAGTTGTCCCGCTTCTTTGTTCCCACAAAACAAGGCTTTGTTATCTAGAAGTAGGAATAGAGCTTGCCATTGGCCAATTCTTGCCTAGACTCACGGAGAGACACGGTCAGGTAGAATTTCAGCTAGATGATGATTACGTTTCGGCATTTGGGAACCAAGACAGACAAAACCTACGCGGAGGCTACACAATCCAAAGGGTCTTGGTGCAGATGCAAGAGCTCTATGGGGCAGCCACCACTCGATAAGCATAGATAAGATCAAATTAAGATATATTCGAGTCAGACAAAAAACAGTACTATAATAAAGCGGGAAGAGAGGGATGATACGCTGTTCTCAAGAGATAAGTGAAAATCCCCTTTTACAACCGCTAATGATAAGAGATTTTTGATGGGTAGTAGTAAAGAGATATGATGGGGAAGTGGAAGTTAAGAACAAAAGACAAACAAAGCTAAGCAGTCGACAAGAACTACAGGAGAAGTTGAACCAATTGGCGAGTCGTCAATGCGGATCGAAATGTTAAAGCGTATGAAGACTCACAAAGAAAAAATTCGAGGACAAGCAAGTGTCACTTTTAAGAAAAGGAAAATTGACATCGGAAGATCTATAGGAAAATCAAAAGATGAGTTTCAAATCAGAATAATTCGATGAATGTTAGAAGACGTACTTGAAACAAGGATTGATGACAAACAGGGGATTTAACAATGAAAGACAGTCATCGAAAAGATCTACAAGAGAATCAACTGATGATTTTTCACGATCAAATCACAATACAGAGAGGAAGGAAACTTAGTAGGAGAGGCTTGGATGATCGCAGCAGAGACATTTTTATTTGTTTTTTCAGGAAACAGAAAGTAAAACTAGTTCAGAGGACCGGAATCTTGTGAAAGCGATAAAAACTTGGAGTACATAATTGATGTTTGTCTGGGTGGGATGATAACTTGACGAATAAGCGAAGGTCGTCATTGGCAGGAACAGATCAGGCCGTCCGGTGACAGTTGGTGAGAAGATCGGCTCTAGTGAGACGAGGATCGGGTCAGGCTGAAGCTGCAAGTGAATAGTCGACATTTGGAGAGCAATGAGTATAAAGATTGTTATATAACTCAAGACCACGTAGACAACGACGAGAACCAATCGGATCAATGGTTTTTCCTGCCTCTATGATTTTCGTAGCAGTTGAGGGCATCGCAAACTCCATGTACACGCTTGCAAGGTACACCAGACTTAGGAGCACAGTTACCCTGGTTCCAACCAAAACAAGGTTGATCCACTTCAGCGAGATGATACGTAGGACGCTTTTTGTAAGTCTTTTTGCTAGACTTTTTGTAAGGTTTTTTACTGGGCTTGCTAGGCTTCTTGATGGGCTTGTTAGGCTTTTTGATGGGCTCACTAGGCTGGAAGGATGAAGAAGTGGAAGCTTGAGGGGTCCCGTGTCTGGAAGATTCCGTTATAGATGGTCTCTCGTCACGATATGAGATAGGGAGTTCGTGCGTGTAAAGGAATTTATTTTCAAAGCCTTTGAGAGCTCGAGCCTTGTAGTCACCCCAGATTAAATTGGGCTGGCTAGCAAACTCGAGACGGCAGGCTTGGTCGTATCGCTCAATGTTAGAGAAGGTGACATCAGTCCTTCTTGATTTCGTGAGGTTGATGATGTGATCGAAATAATTACGAATTGAGGTCAGAGCAGGGTGGAAAGCGGCCATGTAGGCAAATTTGATTGTAGCGATGAGGTCTTGAAAAGCGGAGATGCTTCTAATCTCGAGAGGCGTTTGTTGTGGACAGGAGGTAAAAGTCCAGTTTTTCGTAAGCTTAACTCCGCGCCCCTCTTCGAGGGGCGCGGACGCAGCCGCGCGAGAGGGGCTTAGTTAAGCTTAAGTTTTTCGCGGCATCAGCGTCCTCGAGACGCCGATTTCGTGAGGTACCGTATATTGCTTGTTCAGCATAGAGCTGACGAAGATCAACATAGGAATACGCGAGAAGAGTTCTAACCAGGGACGGCGGGAAATCGGCCGGTTTGTTGTGAGATATAATAAAATTGATACAAGATTCCTTGATATGTTTTCGATAAAAAAGGGCAATCTCGTGAACTTCAATGGCCAGTGGAGAGAATCTACCATCAAAAACTTCGGGAATGTACGCGTTGAACGGGTAAACGGGACCTTGTGGGACGCTGACGACGTAGTTTTGAAAAGGTCTAGGATCGGCATGGGCCTGTGAGCGATCAACATCAGGTTCAACGCGTAAGTGATCATTTGAGGGAGGAGATTGACCAGCTCCGATGAATGGTGAGAGGACGTGAGTCCCAAGAGTGAGGAGGTTTTGACCAACAGGATCGTCAAGTGATTGATCTCGATGATCAGGAGGAACCATAAGGGCGTCTCTGGGAGTGTTGTTTGGATGACTTTGAATTTGATAGGTAGGAAGATAGGGAGCTTGAGCAGGAGCTCGAATTCTCGCTTCCATGAGATAAACTAACATCCCTCGAGCATTGTTGGGAGCCTCAAGGTCTATGACATGAGTCTGGCGACCGGGTTCGCAATGCATTCTGATTGCATGCTGAGCAACCGCTGAGTAGCGGAAGACGAAATTCAGGTCATCTCGTGGAAACATCGCAGCATATTGATCGCGGAGATCATGTATGCTGATGCGATCGCTCCCACTGCAGCGGGAGAAATGCTCGAGGACGACGTTGATGTTGGCGTCGATCTGAGAAGTATCGACTACTTGATTTAGGTTCATAGTAAGAATGAAAAGAGGATGATCACCAAAATATATAAATATAACGAAGATTAGATATTTATGATGAAGGATGTGGCGAAAAGATGATTTTATGAAAAATCGTGAGAATAATTTTGAGGGAAACAAAAATGATTGAAAGAGTGGGTGGGTCGAAAGGAAAGGACGCAAGCTCCAGCAAACTCTTTATAAGGTCATCAAGTGAAATGATCGTCCTCATAGTAGTCAAACGTGATTTAAAGAAATCCAATAAAAGATTACCGGCAGGCTCTGGGAGGCTTAGGCAGGAGCGCGATTTGAAGTATCGGAGATAGGTCAACCGTGCTGTGACGTTGTACCAAGATAAGCCACCTTCTCGTAGACACAAGCCAGCTCCAAGACTTGGGAATTTTGAAAAGAGATTCTGAAATGATTAGCTCAAGTAAGCTCCTCACGAGCGCCTTCGCCGCGCCCTGCCATGCGAACGTGCTTGACTTACTTGAGCTTACTGAGATGATGAACTCTTACGAGAATAAGCCAGCTTCTGATGTAAGGGTTATATGTTTGACAAGAAAGAGTGTGAAATGATGAATGCTTCTTGTTTGATTGGAACACTTGAAAAGATGCTCACGAGATTCCTTGACTCACTACTATTTCCCTTACCATCTTACTAATGATAAGAAGGATGAGCATTCCTTCTGGAATATTGCTATCATAAATCTGTTGATGAAGCCTGAACTCTTGCTCACTTTGTCTTATTGTTTGGTTTCCTCAAAGCCATTCTCACAATCAAACATAATCATCTCGTCATTTTCTCCATCATATAACAAAAAAATAACACACTCACCCCCACGAATCTGTTTCTTCAACTTCCTGTTATCTAGCCGCACTTGCCTATCCCTGAAATTGTGTAGGTCTGAAGACGAGCATCGTGCTACTACTAGTCTTGCCGACGTAGCAGCTCTGATTCCCCTCTTCGCATGACTAAAAGCTGGCTCTGACCTGTCACGCTACGTTTGAGTCTTACATAAGTCTCTTTGACCATTCCCCTTTAAAACACATCCTTATCGTCAATTCTATGACCCAAAGAAGCAATAAGCAATGGGTATCCCCAAAGGCTTCATAAAATGAATTCACCCATATAAAACCAGACATACATTTCTTTGCAATCAGATAAGAAAAATACTTCTCCAACCACATCAAGAAATCAACAAATCATCTTTTAAAAGACATAAGAAAAGTAAAGAAAGGAAGGTTCCATGTCAAGAGTGATGATCCTAACGTTTAGATGATCTAACACTTTTACCAGGTCGTTTACTTCCACCACGTCCACCACCACCACCACCACCACGAGCACCGCCTCGTCCACCTCTACCCCCTCGTCCACCTCTACTACCACTAGTGATCCTTCCATCACCTTTCCCACCCATCCCTTCAAAATTACTTGAACTTTCTTTATTGTTTTCTTTCCATCTTCTACCTGTAACACCTTTTGGTTTAGGTCGACCGAATTTATGTTCTCTACCTACTCGATTCAATTTAGGTTTCTTTTTACTACCTCGACTATCATCTTCTTTATCATTTCGATTACGTTTGTTTGATAAAGTTTCTTCTAATGCTATATCGAAATCTACTTCATTTGTACCTAGTGGAACATCCTTACGTTCTGTAGGTTAACAGGATTATAGAAAACGCAAGTCATCAGTTTTGAAAAATCTCTCTCAAACCAAGAAAGAAACATCTTGATCTAATGAAAGAAACATTTCAACAGGGAAAAAAAACTTCACTTTTTCTTAATTCTTTAACCCCTTCTTTAACTCGTTTAGATTCCTTTTCTCTTTCTAATTTCTTTTCAACTTGAATGGCTTTACCAAACTTCTTCAAATCTCTCTTTTTCTTTGAATCTTCTGATGCTTTAATATTTTCCATTTCACTGATTAATTTCAATCTAATCTTTTCCATATGTGCATCTGATTTAATCATTTCTGCAAAATAATCATTGGGTCTAAAGAATTCTTTGGATGATTTTTGAAAAGTTTGGTAAGCTTCTTTTGCTCCTTGAAGTGCTTGTTTGTATCTATTCGAAAAGTTAATTAAAGGTAAGTTTTTTTCCCGCTGTGAATTAGTTGATCTGGGTTTATAGAGACTTACAATTCGACTTCTAATCCAATATCATCATTCACGTCTGGAACTTGAGTAGCCGAAGTAGATTGGATCGTTTGAGTTTCAAAGAAATCTAATTGAAGACTAGATTTTTCTTTCATAAGATCTAACAATTTCTGTAATGCCTTCTAAACTTCCACAATTCACACTCGTATCAGGAATCATAATAGAGACAAAGTAATAGGTGAATGATCGTATAAAGAAAATGACAAACCGTGTTATTCTTAACAACCTTGCGTTTGACCATTGCTCCTAAATCTTCATTATCTGAATCCACATGCATCTTCTCATACTCGATCCCTTCTATCTCCTCATCATCCTCTTCCTCTGAATCGATAACACTTTGATCTTCTTCTTCTTCAACTTCTGATCCACTCTCACTTCCACTTTCACTATCTCCTTCACTTCCTTCAGACTGTGATCCTTCTCCTTGTGAATCAGCTTGAGAATGTCCTAACAGTAAAAGTTCTTGTTCAGTCATGTCTTCCGGACGCAATTTAGAAAGCAGTCTTTGATAAGTTGAATCATCTATTTTGTCCTCTCCACTTGAGTGTTCATTTGATTCATCATCATCATCTGAATTTGAATTCGACTCTGATTCCCAATCGTTTTCTTCGTCTTTGTCTTCCTCTGCTTCATCATCTGAACCTGAACCGTCTTCATCTACACATTTGATGAAAAACAGGCCATCAGATTGTCAATATTCTATTTCGATCTTCTCGACTTTAATATAGTCAAATCACTCACCATTCTCGTTCGATTCAACTGATATTTCCTCTTCTTCTTCTTCTTCTTCAATGGTTTTCGAATTAGGTTTACTTTTATCCACTTTAGGTAACCTTTGTCGATTAATAATCATCGAATCTTTGGGTCTTTTTTGAAACTCTTCATCTTTTGATTTCGAAGTTTTAAGTTTTGAAAGTTTATTTTTTAATGAACTTGAAGTCATTTTCAGTTGATCGCTATTGGATCCTGATTAATTTTTTGTTTGATGTCGTATCAGAGTTAAAAATAGCTTGTGGGATTGAATTTTGATTATGAGTTGAAGTGTTTCGAGAATGTGATTGAAGTGAATTCTTTTTTTTTGTCTGGCTGTTCTCCAAAAATTTTCAAAACTTCATTGATGATTGTGGGCAGCAGTCAATACAGGTCTTGTTACAACACCTGTTACAGATCTGCTACATGTAGCATATATGATTATGTCATAGTAGGTACCGAGGTACGAGAAGCTTAAGAGTCGAGGCCGTTACATACAGCCGTTCCAAGAAAGGTTGACAACTGTTTTTTGGAGAAAGTTGTCTCCGCAGCGGCTAAAACCAAAGACAAAACTTGATTACAGGTTTATCATTTCCTGTATTCTTCCAATTAGCGGAGAGACAAAATCAAGTGAGGGACAAAACCCGGGTTTTGCACATTGGTGAGATTTTCAAAAAAATCAATCTTTGTTGGAACAGCTGTAGAAGCTCCTTCCCATTTCCATCAACCATTGTGAGGTCTTCTTTTTGAAATGCCCATGATATTTACATAATTCATTAGGAAAAATGCTCATTGCACTCAAATCCACTTCCTGTTGCCTCTACCATTGTAAAAAGGTTAGGTGTATCTTCTCCATTTCAACTTGTATTTTCTTGTTCACATCTCATCTGTCAACCTATTCAATCCACACCAAAACCCTCCTTTCTGGGTCAATTTCAACTGGCTTGCTTGTAAGACATATGTGGATAGCTTGAATCACCCTGTATGTTCAGTTCCCTAGTGATTTGGGACTGGAATTCCCATCCTCTATCATTTGGACCCAGCTAAATACTATTCTATTTCTTTTATTAATGTTCTGTCTACATTTTCTAAGTGCAAGAGTGATCAAGGACTGGCCTTCCCATCTAGCATCCGTTGGAAACAGTGTCAGTGGTACATATTGGTCTTGATTTATTTGAAACACAGCAAAGCTCTCTTGGTTTAAAAACCTTGTCCTTGATGTTTGCCCAAAGCTTCCCAATGCAAGTGACATTGAGGGTTCATGAGAAACTTAGATTTCTTTCTTCTGAATTTAGCTTGATGTATTTTCCTCCAATCTGGTTCTTGTGCAAGCTTTCAATATCAGTTTTCTTCTTGACCTTTCAGAAAAGGTTTGAAAACCTTTCTACAATGTGCCACTGTGTTGTTCTTCTCACAACAGCTCTTCATGAGCAACACAAAGAAAACCATATCTACCCAAACCCAAGCAACGCAGCTGATAATGGAAACCACATGTTGCACTGTAGGAAACACAAACCTAGCAACAGCTCAACAAGGGGTGTTATAGGGTGATGGTCAATCTAAGTTATATATGTTGGATCTTGTAAAACATACCACACCTTGTGATTGCCTAATTAGCTGATTTTGCAGAGGAGACCGCACCTCCAGGGGTTATTCAGGTCCATTTCTCAGCAACACAACACAACAGGAGAAAGAACACGGCTCTTTTCTTCTTCTTCTTCAAGTAGCCCATAGTGAGTTTGAGTTTATATAATTGTCTCAAAATTTTTATCATCCAAGTCTCTCGTATAAGTTAGTATTACCTTATAAGTACACTCTCACAGCCTCTAATGTATAATTTTCATTTTCTAAGCTTGCTCTTCTTTTCTTCCCAAGTGGCCTCTTATAGCTTCTACATAGACCTGAACAAGGAATTCCAGCCAACATACATATCCCTTTTCCATATTCTATTTAACTTTATCACTGAGCCTGGCCCTGCCTGGCCGTGCTTGTCAGCTCACTCGGGTCTACCCCTGACGAGGCGATTTGGCAAAGCCTCGTGGCCGGCTTTGAGTCCACTAGTCCGGGTCTCAAGATAACATAGCGACAGTCTGTAATACAGTCATTTAAGAAAAGCTTGCCCCAAATTCCCCGCCAATTCGCTCGAGTTTTGCGGGCAATTTAGGGCAAGCTTTTCTTAAATGACTGTACATCACGCACGACAGAACATACACGTATTAGTTGACCTTTCCTTCCACCTTAGATTGGGGATGAGTCTGCGTAACTATACTGTCACTGCTGCTCGATTCCCTGCATTAGTAGGAAAAGTTCGAGAGAACCGTCGCGAATGGTAAACATCCCCGACTAACAAACAATCCCTGGACTCCTTACCTTCCACCTTAGATTGGGGATGAGTATGCGAACCACATTGTCACTGTGTCTCTTTATGTTTTAAAAAAAAAAAAAAAAGAAGAAGAAAGATGACTATCTATATTGTGTAAAGATTTACAGGCACCACTAATTCTTGTACTTGACTAGATGACCTACTTCTCTGGTGTACTAGTCTCCTTTGTGTACTGTTCAGAAAGTGTAATATGCAATGAAGCAACTTCGCACTGAAAAAAAAAAAAAAAAAAAAAAAAAAAATAATAATAATAATAATAATAATAATACATCACGTGATTGGCATACACACACAGTGTATGTAACAGTTCCTCAATGACTTTCGAGATCAGCACTCAATCGAGCGAACCATTCACCACCAACTCATGACTTCAACCAACACCATCAAACAGTCTACATAAAGTGTTAGTAGTTGACTTTATTATCAACACCAAAGACTTACCAATTCATACCTATCTAATCCATTCACTTCATACTTCTATCAAATAGTCCTCATTCTATCGTTTTAGATAGAGCGAATCGTTTCGAAAAAATGATACGTCTCTATTTAGTTCAACTTGGTAAGACTCAAATCGAACAGTATCCGAAGTTCTAAACTCAGCTATCCTGGTTTACATGAAGACCGATTTAGTAGCAATGATTGTAAGTTCAATTCGTTGATATCATGTCATGATGACTACTTACACACCTTTTTACTAGTGATCGACATGGAGTAGAATAAGCAAAGAGCGTTTGTAAGACTACGCTTTAAATCTGATGAAAAGAGAATCGAAGAACCGAATGGTCTCTAATTGGTGCAACTGGCTCTATCCTTGATATCCTTCAAGGTAGGTTCGATCCGATTCAAACTATCTCAGAATTCATACCTCGTCTCTGACATTGACCGACCCATATCTTGACAATCATCAACGGACCGTTCATCTTGTCAATCTATGACATTCCTTGTCGATTTTTCAACGCAAACTACAGGTTCAGTGATCCCTTTTACAAATACGTGGACGACGTCTTACACACTTGATATCTTGAGGTCATGCTTCAGTTTAAGTAGCCTTAACGAAAGATTCGCGTCATGTTTGAACGGCACCGAGTTGATGGATCAATGTAAGCAAATTATTCAAGTATCCCTTCAGTTAGTTCACTATAAACTGACTTATCTCTTCTGACATACATCAGATATTGTGATCGATCACATGGACGCGATCCCATTCGTGTATCAGCATCGATAAGAGAACATCTTTGAGAATGGACCCGAAGAGTGATGGATCGAGAAGTCCTTTGGGAATCAATTGATCAATATATAGCAACCGGAAGTCGAGATTATGTGGTAAGTCATCACCTTTCCTGTCTTTTGAATGAATGTAATGGGTTTAATCTCTGATTCAGGTCTCATTTTTGTCTTTCTTGAGATTTATGCTGATGGGCTGAGGTAATGAGGATGATTCCGATGAGTCAAGATAAGTACTTCAGCAATCGATTGATGTCGCAGCCGAAAGTCGAGATTATGTGGTAAGTCTGCCCCTTCTCTCTTCTTAATGGATGAGGACTGGTCTCTGATTTGAATCTTGGTTTTTTGTTTTCTTTAGATTTACGCTGGATGATCAGGGAGTCTGAGAAGTCATCCAGGAGTGAATTGATGAAGATGTACTAGTGGAAAATTGAGATCATGTGGTTAGTCATTACGTTTTCTTTATTCTTGAATATATGAAATGAGCTTGATATCTGATTTCGATCTTGTTTTTTTCTCTTTCAAATTATTCTCTCTGATTTGGCTCTTTTTTCTCTTCAACTCTATCAATTTTTGATTTGGCTCTTTGGTTTTCGTCTTCCGACTTATCAATCTCTGATTTGACTCTTGGCGTATTCTCCGCAGACTTATTAATATCTGCTTTGGCGCTTGGGTTATCCACTTTAGAATTATCAATATCTGATTTGGCGCTCGTGTTATCCACTTTAGAATTATCAATCTCTCATTTGGCTCTTGGGTTATCCACTTTAGAATTATTGTACTCTGATCTCTTGAATTATCCCCTCAGACTTCTCCAACTCTGATTTGGCCTCTGGGTTATCCTCTCCAGATTTATCAAACTCTGCTTTGGCTCTCGGTTTATCCTCTTCAGACTTGTTAATCCCTGATTTGGCTCTTGGGCTTTATGATTATCAAGCACCTCCTCCGTTAACCTTTTGATACAATTAGTTATTTCTCTTCATATTCACCACTGACATGAAAGTCGCGTAGATCATTATAGTATATTGTTGGTTTGGTTGAGTGATATGGCGGACAAGTCTACTTGATCCCGCAGAACGTTACAAATCCTACGCAGTTCAGAATATTGCTCAAGATCCTGATTTATGATGAGATG